TTTATGTGTCTTTTTAAGGCTTCCTCATAATTTTCTAACTAGATTACCATAATTAAAATGGTCATTTCTTTTATCATCTCTCCATCGAAGATTCTTGTGTGTGTGTGTGTGTGTGTGTGTGTGTGCGCGCACATGCAAGAATTCAAACCATTTTATAGCTGGCCAAGTATAAGCTTGAAATCCTGTTAAAAATTGTTTAAATTTTTTGTTGGAAATGTAATTCTCATTTCGTAGGACTTATTTCGTGGATTCTTTTTTGACTATTGGGAGAATACTTATCACTAAACTGTTGCTGAAAAAATGAAATAACTATTAGCTGCTGTCTTAAATATTGTCTACTGTATTGAACACTTGTGTACAACAAACAGCCTTCTCATTTTCCTGTGCCTGCAGTGAGTTGCATTTGCTACTCATCATCGAATGTGCACTGTACCCCCTTGCACTCTTTTTTCTTTGCTGTACTCGTTGTGGTACTAGCTTCTGTATTGCACTGAATTCTGCCTCATTAATATGCCTTCATTAAAAATCTAAATATTTTTCCATATTTTTAATCTAGATAATTTTATTATATTACAGTTAAAATAATAAGTGTCTCAATTTATGATTATGGTTTACATATAGGTGTCACTGTAATTTGTGCTGTCTGCATAGGTGTTCTTTAACTTGTACTATCTACATAAAATATCCAAGTAGACACATTGTGATGTTACTTCAGTGCATAGAAAAAAATCATCTGAACTGAATCAGTCTGTTGATACTGACTAGATTGGTGAAGTGTTTATCTGTAATACTAGAAGTCATGCACGTTCCTGTACAAGCATTACAATACAACAGCAACGTCCTGTGCCGTGCAACAGTTAAAGTGAATTGTAGTTCTACCAAAACAATAAAGTTGTGTTTAATGGAAAAATATTTACTCTGCCTCAGTTTTTTAAACCTTGAAATGTGGCACTCTATCCATATTTCCAGTTCTCAGTCGCCTTAAATGGCTACCATATTGAACAGTATAGAGTTGGAGTACGCAGTGAGCCACAGAGAACCCAACAAATCACAGTGATGTTAACTCAGTAAAAGTTTATTTCCCAGTCAGACTTCCACCTTTTTCTTTCCAACATTTTGTAATCATGCCATCTGGAACATATGGCCTCCAAGGTCCCAGAGGCAAGGAAAGCAAGACCTGGAGCATTATACAATGTTTCTAAGCACTGGCCTGGAAAAGCTTAGAACCTTGGGTCCCATTTTGGTGCAAAGGTGTCCCAGGGCACTGTAGAGAATTCACAAGGGCTTCCTAGGATATTTTAAGTTTTAGGGAAACAGCTCTAATTACTGGACATGGCACCAACTAATACTATTATGTTGCTTGGACCTAACTATTTAGCAAATGGAACTGTCAGGTATTTCTTTTAGCCCAGGGACGCTGTGAGAAAAGGATTGTGCTACTAAGGATGCTGTAACCAAGAAAGTTTGGGAACCTCTGGCTTAGAAATCACTTCTACTCTTCATTTGGCCAGACATCAGTCATATGAGCCTCGGCTAACTGCAAGGGAGGCTGAGAAATAGTTTTCCCCTTGTGAGCACATCCACTGCTTCTGCCCCAGTCTCTCCTGATAACCACACCCTTTCCTTCTTCCCACACCACATGTTGTACATACTTTCCCCAGGAGAGACAGTCCGTAGTCTGATTCGATCCATGTTCCCAGCTCAAAGTCCAGGGTCCCTGGGTTGGAAGTTTGAGTCCATGGGAGCATGGACTTAGGTCAATTGGTGGGCTTCACAGAAGGGTGATGGGGGTGTTCACTTAGATTTTGCCTTTGGGACCCTAAATGTCCGTGTCTCTCAGTCCTTGGAGCAGTGTCTACAGTTTTTCTAGGGAAGGATTTAAGCTGCCAGGCGCCATAAGCCTGGCTATTTTTCTGGAACAGGTGGAAGAAAGCTGCATGGTAGTATGGGGTTGGAGTTCACCCATATACAGAATTCCACTTAATCTGTATTCAGCCTTATGTCCTCCAGGGCCAGGGTCCCCAAGTTAAAAGCCTCTCAAGTTCTCTTTCGTGAAAGATGATACCTCAGATTTCTATGGGGGTGAAATTTTCATAGGGTGATGGACAGTCCCTGACCATGAAGGGTGGGAGTGGCATCTGGGGCTTGAACCGCTCTTATGCGTGTTTTCAAGCACTTTCTCTCCTTTGAGTCCCTGATTTCCTCCACCTTGTGAATCATATGGATCTCATCAGTACCTTTTCGGAAGGCAGTCGTGGCTTTTTCTCCTGGTCAGTAAAATTCTTCCAAACGGTGTATCTCTTCAAATATTATTGTTTGGGCTTACATGTGTCTCTTAATTTTTATATCAGGTTTATTGAGATGGAATTTACATAAAATTCACTTTTCAGATTTTGTCAATCTAGTACAATTGACAAAAATGTAAGTAAAGTATATAACATGATGATTTGATATACATTGTGAAATGAGTCCAAACATCCATCGACTCACATATTTACCTTTTTTTTTTTTTTTTTTGGCAAGAACATTTAAGTTCTACTCTCTTAGCAAATTCAGCTATACAATATAGTGTTAAAAACTGTAGTCACCATGTTATCCACTAGATCCTCTGACCTTATTCATCTTATAACTCAGTTACACCTTTTGATTAACCACTCCCTATTTTACCCAACCCTGGCAACCACTTTTCTACTTTCTACTCTATGCATTCTTTTTTTTTTTTTGAGTCCACATGTAAGTGGTACTATACAGTGTTTTTCTCTGATTTATTTCACTTAGCATAATGTTCTCCAGGTTCATCCATGTTGCTGCAAATGACAGAAGTTCCTTCTTTTTTTAAGTCAGAATAATATTCTAGTGTGTGTGTGTGTGTGTGTGTGTGTATATATATATATGTACACACACACACCCCACATTTTCTTTACCAATCCATCTGTTGATGGACACTGAGGTAGTTTTGATACCTTGGCTATTGTGAATAATGCTGAAAAAAACTACCTCTTTAAATTTCACCATTTTACATTCCACCAGGAGTGTATAAGTAAATTGGTAAAATTGTTTCATCTTTTCACCATCACCTGTTATTTTCTTTTTTATTACAACATTCTACAGCTTCCCCTAAATTTTTCTTAAAAAATTTTTTGGGGGAGCTGCAACGCGTGGTTTGTGGGATCTTATTACCCCGACCAGGGATCGAACCCGGGTCCACAGCAGTGAAATCCCACGTCTTAACCACTGGACTGCCAGGGAATTCCCCCCAATTTTTGTTTCTTATCATCTATATTGTTTTGGATTTTCCAGAGGAGAAGGCAGAATTCTTTACTACCTTAAAATTGGAATCCCGGTAGATCTTGCTTAACCTTTTCAGTGGGGCTGATAAAATCTGTCATTGGTGATATCCTGCCTGGTTCTTACCAGGGAATGTCTATGGAACGTTGACCACCACTTTGCTATCAAGATTTCACTGAAAAAGATTTGTACACCTGGGATATACACCAGTTCACAGAACATAGACTAAATGTCTGAGTTGCAGAATAATAGCACATGCCGGCAAAAATCGTATTTTCTTGATGCAGTGAGTTGTATCAAGTCCAGCTAGCTACCTGGCAGCAGTTATGGATTTGCCATAAGCATCAGGCTAAAATATTGTGGCAAAAGTTCTAAATGCATTAATCTGAAATACTGTATTCAAAAGAGCACTGTTTTCTTTAATACTTTATTTCAGAAATGCACAAATTGTGCATAGATTGATAGGTGTAGTTAAAAACTGTCCAAAACTCCAGCAACAACCAATCAAAAATGTAATGGAGGGACTTCCCTCGTGGTGCAGTGGTTAAGAATCTGCCTGCCAATGGAGGGGACACGGGTTCGAGCCCTGGTCTGGGAAGATGCCACATGCTGCGGAGCAACAAAGCCCGTGTGCCACAACTACTGAAGCCCACGCGCTCTAGGGCCCATATACTGCAACGAAGGGTAGGCCCCCCTCGCTGCAACTAGAGAATGCCCGCACGCAGCAAAAAAGACCCAACACAGCCATAAATAAATAAATTAATTAAAAATGTAACGGAAAAAACGAACAGATGAGTCTAGATGTGGAACCATGTTATTAATAGATTGTAAAGGAAAGATGGAATATTCCATAAGTGGTGTATGAAAAAACTAGCTTGTCTCTTGGAAAAAATTACCTATCTTACTGTTGGGCCCAAAATAAATTCTGGAAAGAGATTTAGATGGGCATGGGGGAAACATGAAGATCTTTGTTCTTCCTGTCTCCTCTTAAGGTGAAATATATCAGTGCCCACTTGGGAGGCTTCCCTACAAAGAATGTAACGTGTGATTGTGGATCTTACAGATGTTGGCCTTTCTTTGGCTGTTTATTGTACTTCTTTCTCCCTACAAGTAAGCCAGGAGTCCATAGCACTTTGGTAGCAAGGAAGCTCCTGTCTTGTGGCCTAAATTTTGTACTGGACCTATTTTTCTTCTTTTTAAAAGTTAACTTTATTGACGTATAATTTATATACAATAAGATGCATGCATTTAAATGTACTGTTTAATGAGTTTTGACACATGTCCACCCTTATGCCATCCCCATCCAAACAGAACCTTGAAATCACCCCAGAAAATTCTCTTTTGCCCTTTGCAGTCAATCCCAATCCCCTATTCCCTGCTCCATCACAGATCTAACATAAATGCTAAAAGGGTAAAACTTACAGAATAAAAATATGGGAGAAAAATTTCATGACCTACAGATAGGCAAATATTTCTTAGGTGAAAGACTAAAAGCACTTAACCATCAAAGAAAAAATGGTAAGTATTATCAAAATTTAAAATATATCCTCTTGGGAATTCACTGGCAGTCCAGTGGTTAGGACTCTGCACTTTCACTGCCAGGGCATGGGTTCAATCCCTTGTCGAGGAACTAAGATCCAGCAAGCCACACAGGGAGGCCAAAAAAAACCCCAAAACTAATATATATATATTTATAATATATATATGTGTATATATGTATATAGATACGTACATGCTCTTGACTTCTGGTTTCTGGTCCAGCATGTATTGCGCTTGGGTGTCATCAGTCTGTCCTAACAACAAGAAAAACATTGAGCATAAAAAAATCAACAACTCTTGAGATCCAGCAGAGACCTTAGGTCACGGGGTAAACCACTGCCCCCAGAGTGGGAGAGTCAGACAGATACCGAGAGTCACAAGCTACTGGGGTAGAAGCCTTAGAACAGAACCCACCACGGGACCCAGTGCTGGGGCAGGAACCCTTCACCTGGAGCTGACACGCTGCTGGAGGCTCAAACTTGTGGACAAGTTTGAGAGGTAAAAACACCAGGGGGTGCCCAGCCTTAGGGGTGACCCCACCTTTTCCTGAGTTTTTTCTCATGCATATGTTATTTCCCCCATATGGGAAGGGGACACAGAAGCACAGGGACTTTAATTTTTTTAATTGAATTTGTAATAGTGAATAAATTTGTTCATTAGATTCAGAATTCAAAAAGCACAAAAGTGTAGTTTTTCTCTTATCCCCCATCTTTCAGGCACACCTCAGTTCTTGTTATTACATCTTTCCAGAGGTTTTATACACACACACACACAATCGCACTTTTTCCTCTTATTTTTTCCTTGTACTCCAATTTGATCCCTCCTCTATTTGGTAGCAGAATTGATCAACAGAACTGACATTTTCATGATACTGAATCTCCCAGTCCAAGAGCATGGTAACTTCCATATGTTCTGTCTTCTTTTGTGTTTCTTAGTCATGTTTCAAAGCTTTCTTCATAATAATCTCTCACATTTTTGTTGGCTTATAAAGATTCCCATATGTTATCTTTTTTTGTAGCTGTTGTGAGCGATAGATTCCTTCCTTGGTCTGCCACGTTAGACCTGCCCGAAGAGGACCAATGGGGGCTCCCCTGAGTCCGTGTACATCAGCAATGGTTATTTCTCCTTGTGTAACCATAAGCCATAGGGGTGGTGATCTTGACTTCAAATTCACTGATTTCTGCAGGGAGGTAGCTAACACTTACTGAGTACCTAATACATGCCACGTGTTATGCTGGTGTTTTAAATAAATGTATAATATGTATGTGAAGCAGATGTTACTGTCCTCACTTTACAGATGAAAAATCAGAAGCAGTAAACTTTTGGACTCGAGAGCCATTATTTTCTATCATAACCCTGAGGGAACTATAGCAGGCAGTAAGTTCACTTGGCCATTGTTCAATATGAAATTTTCCCTCTCTCTTGCTAATTATATTCCACTTAAATGTATTTTATTAGGTAGATCAGATGCATTACAATTAATGTTTTTTAGATCATGAAGACAGCATACCTTTTACTAAATGATTATAAAGAAACTAAGTAATCATCCAAATGATTTCTAGATTCCATGTGTCATTTTTGTTCATGCTTTCACTATTGCTTCCCCAAATTCTCTCAGCATTCCCATAAATGCAGGTGGCATGCTTTCAAATCCTTCAGTAATGTGTTCATGGTACTGGATTTTACCCTGTATCAAAACAACAACAAATATAATAGATTAATTTCATATTCTAAATTATATACTCTTCTCACTGTAGCAACAAATTTATCAGTACGTCATGGGAAACTTGGAACTAGGAAGTGGAGACCCTGTCCTCTTTGAACTTATAGTCATTTGGGGGGCATGACCCACATACACAGTGTATGTAACAGATTACAGCTCACATAAGAGTTTAATAATAGGCGTCAGATCACAGCATAACAATACGAGAAATGTCACAAGGAAGCAATTAATTAATTTCTAAGTAAATTGAACAAAAAATTTAATAATGTAATGATCTCAGAAGAGGCGGAAGCAGATGGAGCAGGGGACATCCTTGCAGGGTATCATCTGTGTTCATCTTTCCAGTAGCCCAATGCTGTAGCATCATTACCTCTATTTGACCCCTGAAGAGGCAGAACCTGTTCAGGAAATGTAAATACGATGGCAGTCTAAAAATATGTCTTCCCTTCAAGCCAAGATTTGTTCAGTACGTGTTTAACATTCATTTAGGAGTGTGGGAGGGAAGAGTTCATTTAGTGAAGAAGGATTTTCATTTCTCTTTTTTCTACAAGGCACAGTCTACTAAATAGAACTAATTCACATTCTCACATTATTTTAAAGAGGTCTTATGTGGAGACCTAAGTCACCTTATACTGTTTTTCCCTAATGTATCCAGTGATGGCTTAGCATCCTTTATGGATTTATGGAGGGACTATTTATTTGCTTGAGGTCACTCAACTAGTATGTAGGGAAGCTGGGATTTGAACACTTAACTATCAATAGAAAGCCCCAGCTCATTCCTGTGCTTGAAGAGGCCAAGAACCTGGAAAGGGTCAAAAGCTATAATCAAAAGTTTAGAGGTTAAAAGTAGAGGGTGAATACTAATATAAAATGTTAATAATATGGGAAATTAGGATATAATAGAATACAGGGTATATGGGAACTCTCTACTCTCAGGAATTTTTCTGTAACTCTAAAACTATTCTAAAATAAAAAGTGTATTAAAAAAGGGGGGGGTTCCCTGGTGGCACAGTGGTTGAGAGTCCGCCTGCCGATGCAGGGGACACGGGTTCGTGCCCCGGTCCGGGAAGATCCCACATGCCGCGGAGTGGCTGGGCCCGTGAGCCATGGCCGCTGAGCCTGCGCGTCCAGAGCCTGTGCTCCGCAAGGGGAGAGGCCACAACAGTGAGAGGCCCGTGTATCAAAAAAAAAAAAAAAAAAAAGAAAGGGGGAGGGATGAGAACGAAATAAGTAGATGAGAGAGAAATTAAACCGATTCACTAGTTACTTAGAACAAAATTATAATTAGGTTCACTTTGTAGGAAGAAAGCATTTGGGACACCAGCACAGTGATGTCTGCTGTCAGCTGTGATCATGTTTGATTTCACCAACAGGGACAAAGAGGCTACACACTGGGAACTCTAAACGCATCCCACTCTTCCCAGCTCCCTGCAAAGAGCCCAGCCCAGCACTTGGAGAGTGTTAGACTGGGAAAAACGCCAAGCTCCAGGGGATGCCAGGGGAGCCATCTATGTCTTTGAATTTGGAAATGATCAGGAAGCCAGGAGTTAGGAAGTATGGTACCACTTTTCTCCTGGGAAATGAAAATAATGCCACCTCGGTTATTCAGATTTCTGTTGACTAAAACTCCACATGGCGTAAGGTGGGAAAATGATCACAGCTCAGGACAAAGCGATTGGATTCTTCCTCTGGATCTATAAGGCATGGCTATAAGACGACTCCACTCTAGGACCTGGAAGAGCCATGGCAAAATATACGCCCCTCTAACACTCATTCGTCTGGACAATGTTCATCTAGTGCCTATTCAGACTATCCTGGGTGGTGTGGATACATCAGCAAACAAAATGCATGAATACTGCTGCCCTCGGGGAGGTTCCATTCTCATGGGAGGGAGACAGACAATTAAGTGAATTATAGTGTATATTATGTTAAAAGATGATAATTGCTATGGATCAAAGTAAGATAAGGAGGCTCAACCAGTGAAGGGGATTGCAATATAAAATAGGGTCATGTTCAAAGCTTCCTCATTCAGAAGGCAGTTTTCAGCAAAAACTTGAAGGAGGGGGTGAGAATTAGGTAAGCAATTACGGAGAAGTGGAGGGGTGTGGGGAGAGACAGTAAGCAATGAAACTAGAGAGGTAACGGAGGCCAGATAGTGTCCAGCCTCGCAGGGTTTATTCTAAGTGAAATGGGGAGCTTTGCAGGGTTTTGAGCGTAAGATGACTTGGCGTGATTTATGCTTTAAAAGATCACTCTGGCTGCTGTGTTGGGAATTGTCTGTAGGGGTGAAAAAGTGGGAGAGCAGCTTAGAGGCCACCACAACATCCAGGCCAGACAAGATGGTGGCCTAGACCAGGATGGTGGCAGTGAAGGAGGGGAGACAGGGCAGATTCTGAATGTATCTCCGAGGTTGGGCCACCAGAATTTGCCGACAGATTAGACATGGATATGAGAGAAAGAAAGGAATCAAAGATAATTTCAACGTTTTTGAATTGAGCAACTAAAAAGGTTGTCACAACTGAGACGGTGCGGTCTATATATAGAGCAAGTTTGGCAGGAAAGATCAAGACATTTTCGGTTTTTAACACTTTAAGGCAGAGATGGAGAAGCTATTGCACATCCAAGCACAGCTGCTGAACAGTTTAGAGCTCAGGGGAGAGATCTAGGCTGGAGACAGACAGTTGGGAGCTGTCAGCATACTGATGATATTTAAAAGCAAGAGCGTGGGGCTTCCCTGGTGGTGCAGTGGTTGAGAGTCCGCCTGCCGATGCAGGGGACACGGGTTCGCGCCCCGGTCCGGGAAGATCCCACATGCCGCAGAGCAACTAAGCCTGTGCGCCACAACTACTGTGTCTGCACTCTAGAGCCTGCAAGCCACAACTACTGAGCCCGCACACTGCAACTACTGAAGCCTGCGCGCCTAGAGCCCATGCTCCGTAACAAGAGAATCCACCGCAGTGAGAAGCCCACGCACCGCAAAGAAGAGTAGCCCCCGCTCACCACAACTAGAGAAAGCCCGCCTGCAGCAATGAAGACCCAAAGAAGCCAAAAAAAAAAAAAAAAAAAGAGATAAAGAAGGAAAAGTAGGGCTTTGTCCTGAAGCAAAAGAAACTGATGCAAGATGAGTAAGACACGAGAGGGAAACATCCAAATGCTAGATTAGCCTTGCAGAAAGAGTGCTTCTCCGGACGACTCACCCCAGCCATATTTCTCTTGGGTTAAGAAGTGGAGTCCTCATTTTCTCATCTTGGAAGAGGATGAAATACTGTTTCTGCGATTGTGCATGCTGATGGGGATGTGGTTTCTTTATTGCGAGTAGAAAACAAATGTGGCATGAAAGCTGGGAGAAACAAGTACTTGCCTCCGAGCTCTCCTAACAGTGAAATATGTTAGAATTTCTGGAGATCAGAGGCAGAGCAGAATCTCACTTGATTAAAATGGAATGGACAAGGCCACCTTGTCCACAAGGCCAGATAGGTCTCAAAGACCTGAGCCCTGAGCCGCTGAACTTGCAAAGACTAATTGCTTAAAAGCCTAGATCAAGTTACTGTATCCAAAATATTTGGCTGTGGTCAGGAAAATGCATCCTGGACCTCTGCTCAATTGGCAGGAAGATTTCCCAGGACGCTAGCTTAGCATCAATTAGAAAAATATGGGGGGAAAAAGTCCCTAATAAGATTGCCAGGTGCACCTGGAGTATCCTTCTTGGAGAAAGTAGCATCTTTGATTTTTCACAACCCAACAGGGAATCTATAAGTGGGCCTTCCTCAGCCTCTTCCACTCCCACCCACCTGTCTCAGTGTAGCCGAGGTGTTGTTAACTAGCAGGGTTATAAGGTTTCATTCCCACGAGTGAAGCCCATCATAGAACAAATAACCCATTTATTTGTGGTTGCCTGGATCCTGATGGTAATCTGGAAGATTCCTTTTTGTTCTTCTTTCTCCTTTTTTTTTTTTTTTTTTTTTTTGCGGCATGTGGGATCTTCCTGGACCGGGGAACGAACCCGTGTCCCCTGCATCGGCAGGCGGACTCTCAACCACTGCGCCACCAGGGAAGCCCTTTCTCCTTTTTTTAATTTTTAGACCGCAGGTAAATCTGTAATCTCACCAACAGCACAGAATCATTTGTAGCAGAAACGACTCTGTATGAGGAGTTCAGAAGATCTGCTTTTATTTTGAGTCTGTCGCTAATAGGATTGAAAGAGTCTCTGGTCCTTTTGGCCATCCATCTCCCCATCTGTAAAATAAGAGGCCTATAGGACATCTCTTAGAAAATTGAGATTTAATGAACATAGTTCTCTAGTTGATACTGCTTTTAGACTTATTTGGGCATGGAGGTGGGAGGGGAAGGTCTCAGCATAAGAGAGTGGAGAAGCGGGGGATGGAGGGCCTGGCAGGGCACAGGAGAAGCGAAACAAGGACGTTCTAGGGATGGAGAGAAGACGCATGCCCCTTTCCCTTGTAGTGGAAATTGTCAGTTTGGTGCTGCTGTAGGAAACTCTGCCCACTACTGTCTGAAGGAAATGGCAGCCTGTTTTCCCTTTACCCACATTAAGCCACCGTCTACCCACCCCCAAACCTCCAGCACATCCCGAATATCCTGAAGAACCCTCGTTTTTTCCCAGCCAGGACAACGTGTTCTATTTCTAAATCAAATCATGGCTTTTCACAACTTTGCAGAAAACAGTAGGTAAAAAACTAAAACTTTTTTTTTTAAACTCAAACTTTTAATAACTCTGTTTCTTCCATATTTTCAGCGCCTGTTATTTCTCTATATCAAAATCCAATATAAGCTGATTTAGCACAAATATACACAATTATATATTTTTAGTTTAATAAACACTATTTCATCAAGAATATTAGGAAATCTGTTAAATACTTTGATAGTCACTGGCCTACACCATATCTGTGAATCTCCTCCTTGTCCCGTCTTTCTACACCTGTGATCATGTGCGTGAGCTCATTACCTGGGGGAAGGGGGCCGGTTCTGTTATATGTAGAGATGGGCCCACGTATAGCAATAGCAAGTCTTCCAAATTTCTTAATCTGGGGGATAACAACGTTGGAAAACTCTACACCCACCTAAACAGACAGGGAAACAAAAAACCAAAACCTTTAAATAATCTAAACCCTAGAAGATTCAGGAGAATCATTAACTCACAATGATCATTTCACAATACTTGTTTTAGCAGCAATAACACTGATTAAATTAGCACTGCAGGGCAGAAAATTGCAGTTGGAAAGAGACATTAGAAACTAGGCATTTTCATTTGACTGTAGAAATACACCTTATATAACTTGTAAATTTTACTTCATTATAATTTGGGGTTTTCTGACCAGTTCAGTAATCTCATTGCTTTATCTAAAAGTATGGAAAAATAACTCAGAAGCCATATATCAAGAACAAAGTTGGAGGACTCACAGTTTCCCATCTCAAAACTTACTATGAAGCTACATCAATCAAGACAGTGTGAGAACGGAAATATAGATCAATAGTACTAAATTGAGAGTCCAGAATAAGCCCTTACATTTATAGTCAATTGATTTTTGACAAGAGTGCCAAAACAATTCAACAGGGGAAAAAACAGTCTTTTTAACAAATGGTACAGAACAACTGACATCCACATGGAAAACAATGAAATAGGACTCCTCCCTTACACGATACACAAAAATTAACTTAAAACGTGTCATAGGGCTTCTCTGGTGGCGCAGTTGTTGACACTCCGCCTGCCGATGCAGGGGACACGGGTTTGTGCCCCGGTCTGGGAAGATCCCACATGCCGCGGAGTGGCTGGGCCCGTGAGCCACGGCCGCTGAGCCTGCGCATCCGGAGCCTGTGCTCCGCAACGGGAGAGGCCACAACAGTGAGAGGCCCGTGTACCGAAACAAACAAACAAACAAACAAACAAACAAAACGTGTCATAGACCTAAATGTAAGAGCTAAAACGATAAAACTCTTAGGAAAAAACCATAGGAGTAAACCTTTGTGACCTTGGATAAGGCAAAGGCTTCTTAGACATGACACCAAAAGCCTAAGCAACAAAAGAAAAAATAAATTGGACTTCATCAAAAATTTAAAATTTTTGTGTTTCAAAGGACACCATCAAGAAAGTGGAAGGAAAAAAAAAGAAAGTGAAAGCAACTCGCAGAATAAGAGAAAATGTTTGCAAACCCTATACAGGAGATATTATTACTAATGATCCTCATTGTAAGTATATTCCATAATTGAGAACTGGACTACTTGCTAAAATTTATTTATAACCCCAATACTCAAAGAGCTTTCCCTGGTCATCTGCAGACATACACAGAATGGCTAGTGGCAAAAGAGACACAAAGTTCCCAGCTGAGGTCAAAAAAGGCCAAGGGTCTGCCTTCTTTTTTTAGCTCTCATACCGAGATTACCAGAGGATGAAGACAGTAGTGGGCAGTGCAGAGTGGTTCAAGAAGTTCCAGCTCTGGGGCCAGCTGAATGGAGTATGAATCCTAACTGTGGGAGGATTAGTCCTGGGGCAGCCTCAGACAAGTTACTTAACACTTTTAAACAAAAATTTTCTCTTTTAAAATAAAAGAGAAGTTATAGGAAGGACTAAAGATTGTAATCTATGTAAGATATGTGCACACTTCCAGTAGGAGCAATGGTTCAGTGTTTGTGGTGACTTTATAGAACATAAAGTTCTATAGGAACTTATAGACCAGGAATACTGAGAATTGACTGTATCTGATAAGGGACTTGGGTCCAGAATATATAAAGAACTCTGACAACTCAACAAATAACACAACTGAAAATGGTCAAAGGATTTGAGCAAACATTTCTCCAAAGAAGACATACAAATGGCCAATAAGCACATGAAAAGATGCTCAACATCACTAACCATTGGAGAAATGCAAATCAAAACCACAACAAAATATCACTTCAAACTCACTAGGATAGCCACAATCAAAATGACAGATAATAAACGCTGCTGAAGATTTGGGGAAATTGGAACCCTTACAGATTGCTGGTGACAATGTAAAATAGTGCAGCCATTTTGCAAAATAGTATGGCAGTTCCTCAAAATATTAAACGTGGAGTTACCATATGACCCAACAATTCTGATTGTAGTCAAGAGAAATGAACACATATATCCACACAAAAACTTGTACATGAATGGTCATAGCCAGCATTATACATAATAGCCGAGAAGTGTGAATGACTCAATTGCCCATCAACCGATGGATGGATGAATAAAATGTGATATATCCATACAATGGAATATTATTTGGCCATAAAAACAAATGAGGGACTTCCCTGGTGGTGCAGTGGTTCAGAATCTGCCTGCCAATGCAGGGGACACGGGTTCAATCCCTGGTCCGGGAAGATCCCACATGCCGCGGAGCAAATAAGCCCACGTGCCACAACTACTGAGCCTGTGCATCTAGAGCCTGTGCCACCGCAATGAGAAGCCCACGCACCACAACGAAGAGTAGCCCCTGCTCACCGCAACTAGAGAAAGCCCGCTCGCAGCAACAAAGACCCAATGCAGCCAAAATAAATAAAAAATAAATTTATTTTTAAAAAAAGAAAATGAAGTAACATTGTAAATCAACTATATTTCAATAAAAATTTTTTAAAAAAGGAATGAAAAAATGATACGTGCTACAATATGGATGGACCTTGAAAACATGCTAAGTGTAAGAAGCCAGTCACAAAATATCACTTTTGGGGGGACAAAGGGGAGTGACTGCTAATGAACACAAGCATTTCTTTTCAGGGTGATGAAAATGTTCTAAAGTTGTGGCAAGGGTTGTACAATTCTGTGAATACACTAAAAATTACTGAGTTCTATGCTTTAAACAGGTAAATTATATCTCAATAAAGCTGTGTTTTAAAAAAGGCATATGTGCTTTCCTCACATATTTTTAGATGGAAACTCTAGAAGTAGATTCCCTCATATAGTACTTCATTGCTTTGCTAGTAAATCAGATATTAAGTCCAATTTGTACTTACATTATCAAAATCACAATCATAACCCTCAGGAGAGGCTTTTTGCAAAGTTTCTTCCAAAGACTTCACTGTTTTGTAGTTAAAGGTGACATCAAATCCATACTTTTCAAGGCAGGCAACCCTTTTGTCAGACCCTGCTGCTCCAACAACTTTGAAGCCCTAAATGGGGAGAAAAATGGAAACCATTTATAAACCACAAGCATGGGCCAAGTCTATCCTCCTAGTCTAGAATGGCCAGGTTCCTCCAGAACACCCTCCTAGGTGCTGAGCCACATATATAATGGGCCAACAGACCCCCTAGGCGAAATTCATCCCTAAACTAGCCTATGATACAACCCAATCATAACTTCAGCCTGCCTCTGACCACCCCACCGATCCCTCCTATGTTTAGGTGGTTTGCAGCTCATTTCAACCTGCTGGCTTGACTCTCCTGTTTCTTTACGTTGGGGCTTCTTCTCCCTTGCAATGACTTGCATGCTATCTCTTGGTGCAGTGACTCTTTAGACTATAATTTTGGCTCTGCCCTGGGACTCTCATATCAAAGACAGCCCTCCTGGTAACTGCCCCGTGTTCTGTGATTTGGCCCAAAGCATTGGACCAGGTGCTGCCTAATCACAGAGGAACTGGAGTGCATTCGGAGAAGCACTTTCAGGTTGAGACTAGAGATTATATTGGTACATAGAGAGTAGATCTTCAGAAAGCGCTCTTCTATTCTGAATGTATCGTGAAGACCAGAATATCAGCCTCTGTTCACTCTCAATTGGGGAAAGGCCTTTGGGTTCGTACATGTATCTGTACAAACAACTGCCATATACTTTTTCCATTCCTACACGATTCAAGAAAAAACAATTTTGCAAAATCTCTTATCCTTGGTCCTTTTGCCTTCTGACCTTACACTCTCATAAGATGATCTCATTTACTCTTATGGCCTCACTACCACCTTCATGCAGATGATCCCCTCGTTTATTAACTCCAGCCACGCCTCTCTCCTGAGTTCCAAATCAGTATTTCCAACCACCTATAACAATCTTCACTTGGAGAGCCTAAGGGGCCTCATAATCAATGTGTCTAAAATGGAATCTTTTTTTTCCCTTGCTTCTTACCTGTTGTTCCTCCTCTATTCTCTATTGTAGTGGGTGATACCACGCAGTTATCCAAACCTGAAACATGTGGGTCAAAGGAGATGCTTTCCTTTCTCTTGTTAGCCCCATCCAATCACCAGGTGTTTGGTCTTTTTCAACAAATATCCTTAAAAGCTGCCTCTGACGTCCCATCTTCACTGTCAGGGTATCATAATTTTCATCTGAATTATTGTAAGGGCATCCTAATCGGACTTCTTGTTTCTAGTATTGTGTCACCTCCCAGGGTCAAAAAGATTTCTCTAAAATGCAGAATTAATCATGTTATTCCTCCAAGGATTAAGCACAAACTTCTTAGCATGGCAGTCTCTAATGGAGTTTCTAAAAGAATAGGTTTAAGAATGAGTCCTATCAGGACTTCCCTGGTGGTCCAGTGGTTAAGACTCTGCGCTTCCATGGCAGGGGGCATGGGTTTGATCCCTGGTTGGGGAACGAAGATCCCACATGCTGCATGGCATCAGCCAGAAAAAAGAAAAAGATAAGAAAAGGGAGAAAGATGGCTCTTCCCTAATTAAAAAATATGTCCTATCAAATTTTTGAAATAAAAATCCCTTGAAGTTTTAATAAAACATTTAAAATTTGAATTTTGGAAGTATTACTAATTCATTTTGTAAGTTTTAATAAAACATTTAAAATTTGAATTTTGGAAGTATTACTAATTCATTTTGTTAAGTCTAGCATAACCCAAAGCTAAACACTGATAAGTTCCAAACAAAAAACTTTAAACCAAACTCACCTATGAATATAGATGCAAAAATTCTATATAAAATGTTATTAAATCAAATCCAAAAGTATAAATTCATAATACACCATTGGTAAATAACGATTATTTCAGAATGCTATTATGCTTTAACATTAGAAAACTAATGTAATTCCTTAACTGCAAAATTTGCAACCTGTATGACAGCCTCATCTCTTTATTTGTATTCCAAGCTCCCATTAGCACTGGAGACCAGCCCAAACCCTTGGCTGCTGGTTGTAGTCCTGTACTCATCTGTATTCTCCCTAACTCTTTCCCTAGAAACTAGATCCTGCATCCAACATCCAGCCTCTGGCAAAGGATAAGCCAAACCAGATCACCTTGGAACATTTCCACTATGTGATACATCCTGACCATGTGTGAGCTGCCTGATGTCTTGTACCCCTACCATCAAATCAGATCTCTTGAGCACAGACACCTGTCCAGATCAGAGGCAATGTTTCCATGCCCTGCGTGCCTCCCATGAGTTAGTTCCCAAGCTGAGGCCCCACCGCTCTGGGCTGACTGCAGTAGCCTTTGCAATGGGGCCGTGTGGGTGATGACTCTTGGTTGGCTGATCTCAAGTCCCTCTTTTAATTGTTAGGGGCAATCATGAAGAAAGGAGATTAAGTTGTAACAAGAAAAGTTCAGTAACAACTATGAAAATAGTTACTGCTTACAAATTCACTACTCTAGCAGAGGCCATTCCTGACTTGAGACCTGCAGTGGTATCAAATTACAATGTTCAGGTCATCTTTGCTGCGCCATTTTCCCCATTCCCCCGTTTCTCAATCATTCCCCATCTCCAGCTTCTCAACGAAATCGACCAGTAGACCAAACTCCCTGAGACGACAAAAGGTCTGCTGCGTTCCCCTCTGCATTCCCAGGGCACGCTGTGGGCTCTGAGTAAATGTCTGTTATGGAGGAAGACACCTTGAGCTTAGCGATCTGCCCCACAACGGAGCCCACTGCTCCTGCGGCCACGTTAACCAGCACTGTTTCTCCACCCTGCACACCAGAGATGTCAAGCAGGCCAGAGTAGGCTGTTAGGCTAAGGGAAGAAAAGTAAGGCTATGGGGATAAATTTGTTTCTTTCCCCTGTATCTCATTTATATATACCCTGAAGGCCTTCTCAGCAGCTCAGTGCCATGCGTCCAGGTAAAAGACAGAAAATATAGGAAATGGATATTACTAGCCACTAATGGTCCACCTCCTCCTTCTTTACCTCCAGGAGAGGAAAAAAGATGATGGGAACTAGGGAGGGAACAGAGAGGTGGCTGGAAGGGGGGAAGCATCCTGTCCACCCCCAGGACAAGTTTCAGGGGTGAAAGAAAATAGATCCCCTTAAACTGTAGGGATCCAAGAACAGAGAGCTTATGCCTCATTCCTATGTAAGTTCTAGGGAGATGGAGAGCTTCGTGGGGAAAGCCTCCATGACATCATAAACAGATATAACGGTATATGGTGTCTAGGCCTGAGAGGGTCAGGAAGAAACACCTTGAACTTCCCATGGCTCCAGAGTGGTATGAAAGAACATCTGCAGTCTCCCCACCTCATCCCTAGTGAGATGCCGAAGTTAGCTTGCAGGGAAACGACTAGTGGGCCCGCAAAGATGCAGCTCACATAGCACCAATGGGGATTATTAGGTCAAGGAACCACCACACTTCAGTGGATTTCCAGCTTGGAAGGGGATGTGGCTGAGGACTCAATGAGAAAAGTTACACGTTTTTTTTTTGTTTTTTTTTTTTTGCGGTACGCGGGCCTCTCACCGCCGCAGCCTCTCCCGTTGCGGAGCACAGGCTCCTCCGGACGCACAGGTCCAGCGGCCATGGCTCACGGGCCCAGCCGCTCCGCGGCATGTGGGATCCTCCCGGACCGGGGCACGAACCCGCGTCCCCTGCCTTGGCAGGCGGACTCTCAACCACTGCACCACCAGGGAAGCCCGAGAAAAGTTACACTTTGAGAGGGGGGGACCAATGCACAAGTAAGATCAAAAGCAAGAAGTTGTCCCCCCTCTACTGGGTTTGTGTTAGCCCTGTGAGCTTTGCATCAACCCTACGGAGAAGACAAAGGAAATTATGAGTTTTAAACCTGAAATGATGGGAGAAATCACTGGCTTAACGGAGGTTTTATTTTATTACACCAGCTTGAGATAGAAATGAAGTACAGGAGTAGAAAAATTTTAAGTTCTATTTTTTCACCCCTGAGTCTGAGCCCATGAAATCTATACCCATTACGGTGATTGTTAAGCCACTGGCAAAATTTCAGACAATTCACATACAGTCATTTCTGTGTAAAACAAACTACACATTGGCGTGACTTAAGCTTATTCAGCCGTGACTACATTTGAGGGCTCGTTAGAGTTGGGCATTGAAGGGAAAGCAGTGAAAGGCAAACAGCACTTCTTCTGAGGATCCAAATATCTAATATTCCCTTAACCCACTGTTTTCAAAAGATGGATGGAACACCACTTGTCTCAGGATCACCTGGAGCTTTATTAAAAATTTAGATTCCCAGACGCTGCCTCAAACCCACTGATTCAAAAATACTGGGATGTGGATATATGAATTTGAATAGGACTCTAGGTGATTCTTATGAATGCAAGCAACTGAGAACCACCGCCTTAATGAATGCTGATATCCGAGTATGCTAGGCAAGTTAGCCTAACTCCCAAAGAGAAGCAGAAGGTACATTTTCAGATTGGGTCATTCCACCCATGACAGCCCGTACACCCCCTCCCCCAATCTCCCGTCTAGATGTTTGCAAAATCAGCTTTCAGTTAACCATACTGACCTAAGATGTACAAGGTCTTTCCCAAACATCACCTCCTTTTAAAAGTAAAATGGAGATAGGATGAAGAAGCCAGCAGTAAAGAAATCCTAGAGGGAAAATGAAAGGTATGCTTTGGACGAAGGGGGACTGGATAGAATCAACAGGTTAGAGAGCAAAACACTTGAACTCTTCCAGCTTAACAAGAAGACAGAGATCCTATAGAAGGAAATAATGCAATACTTTGGGAGGATGTTAAATCTTTGGAGCCTGGACAGCTGAAAGACCCTAGGTTTCAAAGTTCAACTTCTTTTATAGTTTATAGCAGAAGTTCCAGCATTCTGGAAGGGTTGACCCACCCCACTGGTAAGGGCGCATAATGGCAGGAATTGTCAAAGAATTGGTGGTGTGTTGCTCATGGAGGCTAGAAACATGGCATATGTAACCCCTCCCCCTCGGTCTTTGAGAACCACTGGTATAAGCTGATTACCTGGAGTAGAAGCATACTCCTTAGGGGCTTGAAATGGGTGAATGAGAAATATACCCACAAATGAATACATTATCCTCTGTTTTTAGAATTCAAATCTCCTAATGTTTTACCAATTATTTTCTCTCCAGCTAAGTCACGGGAGACTGGCTCCTTGGTTTCCTCATGTCCACCTTCACCCCCATGCTCCTACCCCCAGCTCACCATTTAGAGAAGGATGGGTGGGATAACAAGGTGGGAGAGGAAGAGCTCTCACTAGTAGAGGGTACAGGCAGGCAGGACAGACCGGAAAGGGCTGTCATTCTGTTTAATGCCTTAAGCATCCTCTAATTTCACAATGTTGTCTCTTGGCTGTGGCAATTCTGAGGAGCTCAAATCCTGTGTGTTATATGAACTTGGGGGGTATGGGACTGGTTTTGCTGGAGGCTGATCATTTGGGGATATATATATTTCCGTTTCATTCTTTAGAAGTCCTTCAAAGGGTGAAAAGAAAGAGGGAGGAAGGGTGGGAAGAAGGAATGAAGAAAGAAAAGGATCACACAACCTGGAGAAATTACTTAGAGAAACTTTCCAGGCTAGGAAAATTTGGGGGACTTCAAAGGGAATTCAGGTGACCTTGCTTCTCCAGGACATGAGAGGAAAACTTGAGGTGCAAAGTGCAGCTGGGCCCTGGAGGGCAGACACAGGATGAACTGACCAGGAGTCTTCCTGAGGGATAAGGCCAAGAGACACTTGAGTGTTTTAAATCTGCACCACACTGACTGTACAACTATACTGATTCATCTCAGTTATTTAAACTTCAGATCCCCTGACACCTCTGGAAACTCAGATGTGGAAAGGAGGTGAGGTATCAGAGACCGTACAGAAAGGCCAAGGTACACTGAACTCTTTTTCCCTTTTTAAACTCTGAAATGGAAGCAGACATGAGTGAGGGGTGAAGCCAAGACCTTTCCAGGGACAGATGGAGCTGGTTTCTTTGTGTCACACCGTTTACAGAGGCTTGAGAGGGACTGTGCTTCCTCTCCCTCTCATGCTGCCCCTCACCAGCACTTTCTCTTTGTACCTGATTTCCCCTCTCTCTCCTTCAGTCCCAAGGCTAACTCTAGCCCCTTTCTTCCCTTCTTAGTCCCATCATCCTTTCTAATCAGCCCCTGAGCCTAGAACGTCTCGAGTCTCTTCTCGTTGATCAAGTTCTGGACCAACCATTTTGGAAAACCAGGATATCAGGTATTCAAATGAGTGAAATAAACCCATGAAACTCACCTGGGCATGCCAACCATTCCCAGAGCCAAAAACAGTGGTAACGTGTCTGGCCACTCTGCAAGCAGCTTTTCCAGGTTTTTCCCATCAGAAATGGAGTGTGCCGTCCAGCCGGAAGGAGCCACTACAGTTGTTCCTATTGGGAAGGCTGAGTTTTTACTTTCCACAACCCTGAAAGAGACAGCACATTCAGACACGGGAAACCCCTTTCCTTTCAAGTGGGTCCGATGCTGCATGGTTAGTGGTCACAAAGGGGTATTGAGTTTCATGTTCCATGATTTAATACCCTACCACATCTCTCCATCTGAATTCTTAGCCATTGGTGTCTCCTCCTCAAGGAAAAATATGGGCCCTCAGAGAGGAATTCCCAACTGGTCCAGCATCTGTCCCTGTCATCACTCACTCTTCTCTCTAAGCAAGAGGTGTTCATCCTCTGTCTCAAGGTGACCTGGACATCAGCCTCTTCTCTTCTTCAGAGGCTACCCTCCATTTCTTAGCCCTTCCTCTCTTTTGAATCCTCAACATTCTCCTCTCTTACTGTCCCTTTCTTACAATCTCATCCTATCTCTACCTCATCTCTCTCTCTCCTTTTTTTTTTTGTTTGTTTGTTTGTTTGTTTGCATTACACGGGCCTCTCACTGCTGTGACCTCTCCCGCTGCGGAGCACAGGCTCCGGACGCGCCGACCCAGCGGCCATGGCTCACGGGCCCAGCCGCTCCGCGGACACGAACCCGTGTCCCCTGCATCGGCAGGCGGACTCTCAACCACTGCACCACCAGGGAAGCCCCTCTCTCTCTTCTTTTAACAGCCAAATTTCTTCACTTCCCATTCACTTGATAACCCAATGCAACCTGCCTTCCACCCCCACTGTTGGAAGCAACCTAAATGTCCATCAAGAGAGGAATGGATAAAGAAGATGTGGTACATATATACAATGGAATATTGCTCAACCATAAAAAGGAACAAAACTGGGTCATTTGTAGAGATGTGGATGGACCTAGAGAGTGTCATACAGAGTGAAGTAAGTCAGAAAGAGAAAAATAAATATCGTATATTAACGCATATATGTGGAATCTAGAAAAATGGTATAGATGACCTTATTTGAAAAGCAGAAATAGAGACACAGATGTAGAGAACAAACGTATGGATACCAAGGGGGAAAGCGGGGGGGTGGGAGGAATTAGGATATTGGGATTGACACATACATACTATTGATACTATGTGTAAAAGAGACAACTGATGGGAACATACTGTATAGCACAGGGAACTGTACTTAATGCACTGTGGTGTCCTAAATGGGAGGGAAACCCAAAAGGGAGGGGGTATATGTATATGTATATGTATGGCTGATTCGTTTTGCTGTGCAGTAGAAGCTAACACAACATTGTAAAGCAACTATACTCCAATAAAAATTAATAAAAAAACAAAACAAAAAAACGTAAGCCAGTTACCACTGGGTACTTGTTACCCAAAACACTAGATACACAAAAAGGGATGCTAGTTAACATTTGGAAACATACTTTTCACTTTAGATTTTTTTTTTTTTTTTTTGGGTACGGGGGCCTCTCACTGTTTTGGCCTCTCCTGTTGTGGGGCACAGGCTCTGGACGCGCAAGCTCAGCGGCCATGGCTCATGGGCCTAGCCGCTCCGCGGCATGTGGGATCTTCCCGGACCGGGGCACGAACCCGTGTCCCCTGCCTCAGCAGGCGGACTCTCAACCACTGCGCCACCAGGGAAGCCCTCACTTTAGATTTTAATCTCTACCAATCAACTATGAAAAAAATTATTTAAAAGAATGATGGCTGCATTGTTTACCTAGGCAAAAAGTTACTGAGTCAGTGGCCAGTGAAAGCATTTATTCTCTCCTCTCCCTGAACTGTTTACTGAGTACACACGTTTGAGTCGACTGCAGATTACCTAAATTAAAAGAATATAGATAAAGGAAAGGCAAGAAAACCTAATTTTAGTCTTAGCGTCTTTCTCTACCCAAATTATTTGCCAGTGAAATGGAGAAGTTCGAGCTTGGCTTCTTTCTTCTTTTAAGTTTTTGGGAAGGAATTCTGGTGAACAATGAGAGGTAAATTGTGCACAGGAAGATAGGGGATGGTTGTAAAGTAAAGGGGCCAGTGTAATCCCTCACTGCTCTGCTCAGACTTTCGCCTGAAAAAGATGAGCATCCGTGAATCCCATCACTGACATCCTTCTGGGAGAAACGGGGAAGCCATAGCATTTTGAATCAGCTGGATATTTTAAAAGATTGACCACGTCAAACTAGAGTCCAGTGCACAACATAAGAATTTTCTGGAGGAAAATAATACCTCATATAAGGATCCACAGTGAAGAACAAAGCTTCCAGCAGGACCTCTACAAAATAAAGCATTCCACAGGCAATTAGAAACCCTGGCCTGATGCCTTGTCTCTGGCCTTCTAAATAAACACAGACAATCTCTCTGCTTCAGGGTTGCCCTCTCATCTGTGCTTTCTACTGAAGAGCCAAGAAGAGCTCTCACCTTGGGCTCAGTCCAGTTAATAAAAGTAAAAATTATTTTTTAAATTTTTAAATAAAATTTAAAATTATGTTTATTTACTCAGCACTCACTCCATGCTTTACATACATTATTTCATATGATGTTCTGAACAATTATTGTTTCCATTTTATTTAAGCTTAGGTTAAGTATCTTGACCAGGGCCACATTTGTAACCACTGTATTACAGGGCTCACATAGGGTTTTATTACCAGCCTCAGTTAGTATTAAAAAATACACGCATTTTGCTGGAGTGACCCTCATGCACCCATCCTCTGGAATTTTGGTTCTGAGTTCTAGGTTATCCCAACCTAGATGGGATCGATAACTTTGCCATGCTACTTGATTGCATGCCCTTTTCTCAAAGCTTACCTACCTGAAAATAGCCCTTAAAGACACCCTTTAGCAAGTGCTCTGCAAAGCTTATCTCCAAACATGTGATGGGATGTGTCGCCATTTCTCTCCCTTCGATTTCTGCAGGGATATTGTCTGCTCACAGGGATAGTCTGAGGTCTTCACACTGCTGCTAGGCAGTTCTTACCCTACTGTCATCGTGGGGCTCACTGGGACAGAGGAAATACTCCCCACGGGCTAGCGAAAGTCAGGAAGAACAATGCACCCAAGCATGCGTTTCAGTTACCAAGGGAAGTAGAGGGATCTTCTAACATGACATTGAGGCTTCACACACACAGCCTTGAAAAGGTCTCTGCGGCCATTTGCAAAAGGGCCACAGATACCACCCATCCCTGTGTGTGGGCTTCTTTGCCGTCCTCCCATCAAGAAGTCTACTGCCACACCTTGAATCTGGGCTTGCTTTGATGAACATCATGTTAGCAAAGATGATATAAGTAGAGGTTTGAAAAGTGCTTGCATATTGGATCTTGCCAATTCCTGCTGCTCTAGATTTATGAAATCACAGTGAAAACAAAGAGCTCAAACCAGCCAGCTAGAGAGGCCACATAGAGGAGAAGTGAGGCGTGCACCTGAGCAGAAAGCCGGCTAACATGACATGTGAGTGATGACCATCCTAAGTTAACCATTTAGCCCAGATGAGACCTACACAAGGCCCACCAACTTAACCCAGCCCAAACTGCCAACCCACAGAATTGTGAACTAATAAATGATTGTTGTTTGAAGTCAATAAATGTGGAGGTAGTTTGTTACCCAGCAAAGGCAAACTGATATAGTCTCTTCCAACTTAAATCTAATGAGTATGACTTACCTCTATTTTTTAAGGGTGGGAGTTCGACTGTCTTCAATTCAAAGTCACTATTAGTAGGGCGGCCTACGAAGTGTTTCTTCAGGGTCCAGCTCTTAGCATGAACCATCCTGAAGCTCCTAGAACACAGTAAACATGTAGTCAATGCCATGAAGTGACTGGATTCTTATGGTTCCCTAAGTGTTGCACTGAGGCCACACAGCAGGGTCTGCCCGTCATCAACTTTACCATTATCATTTAACGTCAATCACGTTTATTTAGCAGTATTCACTGTTTCTATCGGTGTGTTAAGCACGTCATACTTATCATCTCAGTTTACCCTCATAATTTCCCTGTAAGATAGGTATTATTATCATTGCCAGTGCACAGCTGTGCAGAAGAGGAAACTGAGGCTACCTCAGAAATCTCCAAGGCAAGGAACAATGTTAACCCACACAAATTCTTCCTAGCCACTGCTAAGGTTTCGCTAGGGCACTGAACAACTACCTGGAGTGCAAATATTCCATTTCTCTCCTCATATGAAGCGAATTCTAAGAAAAAGCATCAAACACAAAGAAACGACGTCCATGCACATCTTTTCCAAGGGCCAGAGCGCTGCGTTCTAAGGCAAGCAGTCTCAGGAACACCTGACAACCGCCGGGTGGCGCTGCGCTCAGCCCCATTTTCAGGCGCGAGTTTTCTTTGGCACCAACGGGGAAATCAATTTGGGTCTGTTTGGGTTTAAACTTGCCTGCAGACAAGGCCAAGAGAAGATGATTCAGGCGGCCCTGAGCTCTCAGGGCATTTTCCTTGGAGCGATCGAGGTGGTTCGACCCGAAACCTTCCTGTTCCTACTTGTCTTTTTTTCCCAAAAAAGGCAGCCGCTGAGAATTCTGGACTCGCCATAAGTCCAGAAGCACCCGTGGAAAGGGCGCGACTGCAGAGGCAGGCGAGGATCAGGACGAGCCCCCCCGCCGCTAGAGGAAGGGGGCCAGGTGGGATGCCCGGCCCAGGCGCACTCGCCCCCGGATCCCACCTCCTCGCCGCGCCCATACCCGTCCGTTAAATGAATTCCGACCCCTGCCTTTCTTCTCCTTCCACACTTGTCCCACTTTTGTAGTCCCGCACGTTCCTTCGCCAGCCCCCTCCCAGGTGCAGGCAGCTATGCCAGGCACCGAAAATACTGCCAGGCCACGCCCTTCCCTCCGGCAGCCGTCTCCGATCTCTCCAAGAACCTGCACGGGCCAGGAAGCATCGGCCCGGGCATCCTGCTTCCAAGTTTCTTCCGAGGGCAAGACGCAGAGGTTACTCAGCACTAGGAGAGGGCGAGCAGCACGCAAACGCTCCGCCACAGGGGAGTCTAGATTCTAAAACTGTGGGGTGGGGATATTTACTTACCAACGTCCGCAGGCTCCATTACCTAAAGCAGGGAGTTGGGACTGCGCAGCGGAACTCCGGAAGCCGGGATTTACGGCCGGTCCCAGGAGAGGGTGGGGCGGTGGGGTTTCCCCCAGGGCGCGGCTGCTCCTGGAAGCCTGTGGGCAGCGGGGCCCGGGGAGGGTCACAGGAGGGAAACCCAGGAATCGAGGAGTGTGTGTGTGTGTGTGTGTGTGTGTACCTGCACCAGTGTGTGTGTGTGTGTACCTGCACCAGTGTGTGTGTGTGTGTGTGTACCTGCACCAGTGTCCTAACTGGAAACCCGCTGGAAGATGCTGCGTGGGAGAACGAGCCGCGGCCCCCGCCGCTCAGGCAGGGAGCAGGGGGACGAAGGCGGGTTCCCCCAGCGGCCGCGGCCGGGGGGCTCCTCCTCAGTCCCGCAGCTTGCCCGGCGTCCACGCCCCGACCCTGGCACTCGGGTGCTGGCCCCGTGCCCGCCTGACCCCAGTCTCCCTGATGAACACCTCTTTACCCTGCAAGAGCCAATTCAAGGCTCACCTACTCAGTGAGTCTCAGACTCTCCCGGGCAGGAGTTAGCGCTCCTGCAGCTAGGGCGCCCCACCCCGCCGCAGCCCTGCAACACCCAGCCCTGGGTAGGGCCTTTCCCCGCCGACTCCTGGAGGAAAGGTGGATCCAGGGAGGCGGTGTGCGCAACGCAAAGGTGCCCGGGCTCGGTTCCAAGCCTGCGGCCACCACTTCCTAACGGTGCAGCTCTGAATGAGCTACTTAACCCCTTCCTGCCTAATTGACCCATCTGCAAGATCGGGATAAGAGTAGTGCTTTATGAAAATTAAGTCTTTTTAAAGAATAAAATGAGTTAACACCAAGTGCTTAGACTAGTACTGGCGCGTGGTAAGCTCAATAAACACTAGATCCCGGTAACAATCTTTTGACTTCCCCACTGGCCCTGAGTCAGTCCCAGGCACCCCACACTGCGTCATTCAATTGTATACCCCCAACTCCGAGCCCAATCCTGGTCGGTCATATAAACAGTGAAATAATGCAAAGATGTTTAAAGAACACTGTCCCTTCTCCTGCATTACCCTCTCCGAAAGGTAACAGATGTTACCAGTCCAGTGTTGACCCTTTCCCTCTCTTCTCCACAGTCGTTCAGACATATACACTTAGAAGGTTCCCCGCCCCCCGCCCCGTTTTCACAAACACGTGATCATTCTAAAGCTGGTACTCTGCATCTTATTTTTTTATTTTCCCAGACTGAAAATCTTAGGCCTGGGTTATCTAAATCAGGGATAGGATTCTTTCTAACAAGGCACTGAGTGAAAGATTCAGAACTCCAAGAGGATAGCGTTAAGTAATATCAGATGTTAGCTATACAGTATTGCCAGATTCGTAGGAAAGATTGTTTGCTGGCTTCAAAAACTTTCCACAAAAGAGTTGAAAGAAATGTGGATGTCTCTGAAAGAGTGTACATTGGATTGCTAGGGCTGCCATAGCAAAATACCACAGACTCGGTGGCGTAAACAACAGACGTTTATTTCCTCATGGCTATGGAGGCTGGAAGTCCAAGATCAAAGTGTTGGCAGGTTTGGTTTTTCCTGAACCCTTGCTCCTTGGCTTGCAGATGGCGGCCTTCTTTCTGTGTCTTCACATGGCCTTTTCTCAGTGCACATACATCCCAGGTGTCTCTCTCTCTTCTTTAAGGACACCAATCATATTGGATTATAACCTTACCTAACAGTCTCAGTTGGATTTAATCATCTCTTTGAAAGCCCTGTCTCCAGGGACTTCCCTGGTGGCGCAGTGGTTAAGAATCCGCCTGCCAATGCAGGGGACGTGGGTTCGAGCCCTGGTCCAGGAAGATCCCACATGCTGCAGAGCAACTAAGCCCGTGTGCCACAACTACTGAACATGTGCTCTAGGGCCCGCGAGCCACAACTACTGAAGCCCGCGTGCCTAGAGCCCGTGCTCTGCCACAAACAGAAGCCACCGCAATGAGAAGCCCACACACCGCAACGAAGAGTAGCCCCCGCTCGCCTTCCTGTAGCAATGAAGACCCAAAGCAGCCAAAAGTAAATAAATTTTTTAAAAAAAGCCCTGTCTCCAGATACATGGATTAGAGCCCACTCATATGATCTCGCTTAAACTTAATTACCTCACTAAATTCCTATCTCCAAAAATGATTATATTCTGAGGTTCTAGGTTTGGGGTTTCAACACATGAATTTTGGGAGAACATAATTCAGCTCATAACAGAGTGTATGGGTAAAGTGCGGTGGATGTACACTGGGAGGTATTACGCAGCTATCAGAAGCACTGGGCTAGATGGACATAAAGCAACCTGGATGGATCCTAAAAACACAATGCTGCATGAGAAAAGAAAGGAACAGAAAGAAGTGTGTGACCCTATATCACTTCTATAAACTAAAAGTATAAGCCCTTAGTGCACATTATGCAAGAACATTTACAAAAAATACAAACTACATATTAAATACATCACAATAGTTGCCTATGGTATCAGGAGGAGAAGAGTAGGGAATGGGGATTGCTTTTTAAAGGCACATAAATTAATGAGAGACAGAGGGAGAGAGAGAATTTGGCAGACCAGTGGTGATAATACACTGTAAACTCTGATGAGTATGAAGAACTCAACCCTCTGGCCCTCAGTCCAAAATGAAATATGCGCAGTGAGGAGATCAACACACCCCTCCCCCATCTTCTTAGCAGAGGGTAGAGAGAGGTTTTGCTACAGTCCAGTGCCATGGACACAAGACAACCTGCTTCCCTCTTTTTATCTGAGACATTGGCCCAAGTGGTGACATCCAGTTGCAACATATGCTTTCCCATTTGTGGCTCAGAAAATGTATGGTTTCCTCTATTCTCTAACAGAAATATTGCAAAGTAACCAAAGTAATAAGTATGTACACTTAATGGCAGAGAGCCAGATATAAAAAGATTTCATGCCTGGTATATCCAGTGGCAGACCATGTTGGCTGCCTGTCCAATATCCAATATCCTCTTTGTCCTTCCTACATACATACCCCAATTTTGTTTAGGGTAGCCGTGTACCCAGTTAAAGAACTCTGCTTCCAGGCTCCTTTGTGGCTGGGATTTTGACATAGTTCTGGTCAATGAGACAAGCAGAAATCTAATGGGTAGGGCTTTTAGGAAACGTATTGTTTCCCAGTTAAAATAAAAAGGGAGAAACTCAATAGACATGCATCTTTTGTCCTTTGTCTTTCTTCCTGCCTGAAATGTGGAGATGCTGCCCAGTGGTGCAATAAACATTTTGTGACCATGGAGCCACTCACGACAGGTGGCAGTAGAGAAAGGGAAAAGATGTCTGGTTTCCTAAGTAGTTGCATGAGCCCTGGACTTCCTTCTTTGGACTCCTTGTTACATGAAAACAAAAAGTGCTTTTTAAGCCACTGTAGTTTGGGTTTCTGGAACCACTGAATCCAGCCCTGACCCCCTGCAAATGGAGCAGGTGAGCCTGTGCCTCCCTGGTTCCCTGGTGAGAATTGATGAAGTCCATCCTTCTTCCAGATGAAGAGAGGAATATCATGGCAATTGGTCAGGAAGTCCCCTCTGCCTGTGAGGTGCGTTTCCAAAGCTTACCTGGCGTATGTGGCATATGTGGAGTGGATTTTAGGGAAACATCTGTCATGTCCACTACACTATTAAACAGGATTGTTGTAAAGATTGTGTGACATGGGACATAAAGGACTGGCAAGTAGCAAGCCCCCTAAACATCTTCCTTCCTCTCTTCTCTATCATGACTTTTTAAAAATTAAATATTTAAAAATATTGAGCTGTGAACAAAGCATGTTTCAGGTATATCAGAGAATCAGAGATGAGAAAGACACTCTTTGTTATTGGACACTGGAAGTGTTAACAAAATCACTGGTGTGAAGAGTCTTTGGAAAGCAATAAGAATTATAGCAATAAAGTGCCTGGAACAAAGTATCCCTCAAACATTTAGTCACTTTTTGTTTTTGTTTTTTTTTTAAAAAAACCATTTACTCACTTGATTTCAAATAGAAGGTATGGATAAGATTTGGCCACACCAGGTCAAGCGGGATCCCAGTCATTGTGACTCTGTCAGGCTTAATCACTGAAATTTGCCAAGTCATGGTGATTAAGCTAAGTCATGGTTGTTAAGTCATCACAGACAGAATTAGAATGTAGGGAAAAGGTCAAGGGAGAGCATTTTCCCTTACTTTGCTCTGAGACAAAACCAAATTCAGTTCAGTCCTCCAGCCTTAGGGTTCAGAGAGCTCTGATCTAGCTAGCTGAGGGAACAATTCACTGTTAAATACAATCACAGAAGTAATAAGAGAATGCATCTTGTCAAATAATTCAGACAATACAGATGCCTACAGTGTAAGAAGCAAATGTCCTTGTTCTTTGTTTGGGGAGGATTCCTTCTGACGTTTTTCTATGGCAACGCACTTTCAGAATAGACACTCATCTCCTCTTCCTTCTCTACAACTTCCATTGCATTGGCCTGGTAAGATAATGCTTGGGAAATAATTATAAAACTGGGTAGTAATATTATTCTCATGATTGAAAGAGCCCCTTAATACATGTAAGACACTGCATTTCAGGAGAGGATGATTATGCCTCTTCCCACAGTACTAGGAGATACATTGGTGCAGCACCAACTGTGAGCCTTATCCTAGAGAAGAGCTTGGTACCTAGTATTCCTTGTCCTTATAACACTTCAGGGAAGCACTTGTTCTTATTATCTTCCTCAGAGCCTAAGGAAACTGAAGTTCTAAGAAGTAAAATAACTTAGACACAATCACATAGCTAGTCAGTCGCAGGGTTGAGATTTGAATCTGAGTTAACAAGCTCCAAAGCCCCATACTTTTCACTGTTCTGTCTTACTTTCCAGTACAGGCAAGACGGATTCCTCTAAAAGGTAAGAGCAAATTTAGGAAAGGTCATACTTATGGGATATCTGTAAACTATGATTAGTAATGTTATTTTATTCTTTTTCCTTTTTAAAATATTTATTTATTTTGGCTGTGCCAGCTCTTAGTTGCAACACGTGGGATCTTTTAGTTGCAGCATGTGGACTTCTCAGTTGTGGCATGCAGACTTCTTAGTTGCGGCATGCAAACTCTTAGCTGCGGCAGGCATGTGGGATCAGTTCCCTGACTGGGGTTTAAACCTGGGACCCCTGCATTGGGAGAGCAGAGTCTTACTCACTGGACCACCAGGGAAGTCCCAATAATGTTATTTTATTTTATTTATTTTTAATTTTTTTTAAATTTTTTGTGGTATGTGGGCCTCTCACTGCTGTGGCCTCTCCCGCTGCAGAGCACAGGCTCCGGACGCGCAGGCTCAGCGGCCATGGCTCACGGGCCCAGCCGCTCCGCGGCATGTGGGATCTTCCCGGACCGGGGCACGAACCCCCGTCCCCTGCATCGGCAGGCGGACTCTCAACCACTGCGCCACCAGGGAAGCCCAATAATGTTATTTGAGACGTGCAAATATGTTACCAAACTCAGGTTCGGCTGCTTGCCGCTCAAAAGCCAATACTCAAGAGGCAACTGTTGGTGGAAAGGAAAGTTGCTTTAATTAGAAAACTGGGCAATCTGGGGAGAAGGTGGGCTCATGTCCCAAAACCAACTCTGAAGATTCTGCTTGGCCATGAAAATGTCTAAAGGGAAAAAGGGAAGTAATCTCAGTCACTGAGATAGGGGATCAGACTCATAGCCATCTCCCACTGCATGCAGGCTTGTTGCCTCCTCGTGATCTCTCTTTTTATGCTATCTTGTTCACACAGTTTGTTTGTGAGATTACTGAAGGTGAAGCTGGGGAAGAGAGCTGGTCATCTGTTAATTACTTATTATTCATTTCTACTTCTTTGATCTATGGAAAGAACTATGGAAAGAAAGTTTGGCAAGGTATAATGTGATCAAAAGATTTGAAAGGTGTGCTTGGGCTGGAGATGAGTAGAGCATGGGGTGACTGGTTAAAGGTTAGCTACAATATAGTTTTGCTAAAGAGACAAGACAAAAGGGGCCTCCTGCAGGGAGCTCTTTCCTGCCAAAAGCTGCTTACAAATCCCCACTTGTCAGAACATGATTCCATTTCTACGGGATTATGGGCAAAGGTCCGTCTTCTGTAACTTCTTCATGCTGACATACGGCACTGTATTCTTAGAGTGGAAAATGTTGACGTGGGTCTGTAGCATCCCTTTGCTGACAATTTTAGTTGCCCGCTTACATATATGGGCAGAACAAGCTACAATTACTTTGATGCCCACAAAGATATAGATTATTATGAGCAGTGGTGTTAATCCCATTCTCTTAAGGCCAGTTCTTGGAATTGTGCTAGCCATACATTCAGTACTGCTCAAGATGGAACAGCTTATGTCATGGCTGCAGTCTGGTCATCATGCAGTTAGCTTTTCCCCTCCGGTGGCAGTTATAGTATCTGTAAAATGACTCCGGAATGTGCATCAGACACTGAAGAATTCTGTGATTCTATTGTCCTCATCATTAACTGTTTTTGAGCCTGCTCATTTAGGACTCAGGGAGGCCTGGGAGATTTCAGCTTTTCTACAAACAAGAGGCAGGGGACACGGAGGGGCCTTTGTACTTGGGAGGGTCCCTGCAGGGTTCTGCTCGCTTCCAAAGACACTGAACATCTTGGAATGTCACTCTCTCATCCTGGCTTCCCCTCTTAGTCCCTCTGCCATCCTCCTATCCACTTGGCTAGGGTCTGATGCAATTCTATGGCAGTCTTCTTTCTGCCTCATGATGGCAGGTGCTGGGGCTGGGGCAGAGAAAATAAAAGATGAACCTGAAACATCATTTTGTACAAGTAAGAAAGTATGTAAAATATGATGGGGACACAAAAGGGTAGGGGTCATGTCAAAAGGACATAGAAACCCTCTTAAAGGAGTTGCAATAGGCCAAATCTAAGACAAGTTGAACATCAAAACAAATTCAAAGAATGGCTAAACAACAGGGTCCTACTATATAGCACAGGGAACTATAGTCAATATCCTGTGATAAACCATAATGGAAAAGAACATTAAAAAAGAATGTATGTGTATAACTGAGTCACTTTGCTGTACAGCTGAGGTTGGCACAACTTTGTAAATCAACTATATGTTAATTTAAAAAATAAATAAAATTAAAAAACCCCACAGACGTTATTATGGGCAAAAAAAGTATATCCTCCCCCCCAAAATTTAAAATTAACATATTAGCACCCATATGATTAACAATAACAATTATATGTTAATGTAATTAACATATTTTATCACCCATAAAATAAGTTACCATGAGTTCATAAATGTAGAGATAAGGAAAAGATCTTCCTTACAATAGAATACCAACTAATAAATGTGGGTGGAAAGATGGAATTAGAATGTCACCATTTTGCAACCACTGTATTAATAATTGATTCAGGCAAAAATCATGGAAGCTAGATAAGCAGGTGAAGGTTTGAGGAGGAATAGAATAAGTCTAAAAGTATCTCTTCACAAGTTATTTATTAAAGGGGAAAAGGTCACTTTACAGTAGAATAACAGGACAGATAACGGTTCAAAGTCAACATCAGTGTTGAGGCAAACGGACATTATCTGTGCTTTCTGTTGTGTGTCGAGCACACAACATCATTTCTGTGGTATCCTGATAGAAATGCATAACATGGATTTCATTGTGAGGAAATATCAGACCAACTCCAATTGTAGGACCTCCTATAAAATAACTAGCTGGTAATCTTCAAAAGTGTCCAGGTTGAAGTCAAGGGAAAACTGAGGAATTGATTTTCTAGATTATAGGAGACTAAAGAGACATGAAAATTAAATGCAGTGCAGGAAACTGGATTGGGCCGGGGGCAAAAGGATAGCTATAAAGGGCATGATTGAAACAACTGTGAAGTTTGAATATGCCCTACAGATTAGATCAAGAGTTGGCGAAGTACATATGGCCCTCTGGTCAAATCCAGCCTACTGTTTTTGCTTTTTTGGCTGCACTGTGAAGCATGCAGGATCTTAGTTCCCTGACCAGGGATTGAACCCGTGCCCCCTGCAGTGGAAGCGGGGAGTCTTAACAACTGGACCACCAGGGAAGTCCCCCAGCCTACTATTTTTGTATGGTTTGCAAGCTAAGAATGTTTTTTACATTTTAAAAATTTGCTGTGAAAAATGTAACAAAATTTACTATTCTAACCATTTTTAAGTGTATAGTTCACATTACTGTGTAACAGATCTCTAGGACTTTTTCATCTTGGAAAACTGAAACTCTGTACCCACTGAACAACTCCCCATTCCCCTCTCCCCCACCCCCAAACCCTGGCATCCACAATTCTATTGTCTATTTCTATGAGTTTGACTGCTTGAGATGGCTTATACAAGTGACATCATACAGTATTTGTCTTTTTGTGACTAGCTTACTTCACTTAAGAGTAATGTTCTCAAGGTTTATCCATGTTGTATTATGTAACAGGATTTCTTTTTTTAAGGTTGAATAATATTTCATTGTATGTATTTAACACTTTTTTTTTTAGTTTGTATATTACTATTTTTTTTAGTTTTTTAAAATTTTATATTGGAGTATAGTTGATTTACAATGTTGTGTTAGTTTCAGGTGTACAGGAAAGTGATTCAGCTATACATATATATATATATATTTTTTCAGATTCTTTTCCCATATAGGTTATTACAGAGAGGTATTGAGTAGATTTCCTTGTGCCGTATAGTAGGTCCTTGTTGATTATCTATTTTATATATAGTAGTGTGCATATGTTAATCCCAACCTCCTAATTTATCCCTCCTCCCACCCCGCCATTCCCCTTTGGTAACCATAAGTTTGTCTTCTGTGAGTCTGTTTCTGTTTTGTAAATAAGTTCACTTGTATCATTTTTTTTAGATTCCACATGTAAGTGATATCATATATTTGTCTTTCTCTGTCTGACTTCACTTAGTATGATAATCTCTAGGTCCATCCATGTTGCTGCAAATGGCATTATTTCATTCTTTTTTGTGGCTGAGTAACATTCTATTGTATATATGTACCACATCTTCTTTATCCATTCATCTGTCAATGGACCTTTAGGTTGCTTCCATGTCTTGGCTATTGTAAATAGTGGTGCAATGAACATTGGGGTGCATGAATCTTTTCAAATTATTGTGTTCTCTGGATATATGCCCAGGAGTGGGACTACTGGGTCGTATGGTAGCTCTATTTTTAGTTTTTTAAGGAACCTCCATACTGTTCTCCATAGTGGCTGCACCAATTTACATTCCTACCAACAGTGGAGGAGGGTTCCTTTAAGGCAGTTTTAACCGCCAAGGATTAGAACACTCCCCAAAAGAAAACACAGACAAATGGATAAAGAGATTCAAGAGGGAAGTGTGAGAGCAACAGGACGACAGCAAACCTGTTTCAAATTTTTATTCAAATAACTAGAAAATACAGATTATAGACTGTTACTATTATATAGATTACTACAGATCACCTTTCAGTGGGACCCTTTGATGTATGCACCTGAAACACAGGAAAACTTATTTCCCAGAGTAGATATAAGGAAGGAAGGAAGGAAGGAAGGGAGAAGGGAGGTAGAGAGGGATGGAAGGAAGGAGGGATGGAAGAAAGGAGTCAAAAAGAGGAAGGAAAAAAGAAAAGAAATTCCCCCAAATTTTGGAAGGCAAGGAGGCAGGATTCAGAGACATTTCAAATCTGCCCTAGCGTCTCATTATCATAGAATAAAATCTGTCCCAAAGCTTTTAAAATTTGTTTAAACCAAAAGAACTTTGGGTGAAGGCAAATTATTTTTAGAATGCTCTTGTTATTCAGGTTGAAGTTACTAATGATACAGAACTCATAAATTATACAGTAACAATTTGTTTTCTTATTATAACATTAAAAATAACATAAACCAGTGCAGTATTTTTGTGAATTTGTTGAATGAAAGAAAGATAATTTAAATTGGGAGCCTCCATGCAGTTCTAGTCAAGTTCGAGCAGAAACTCTCTGTATCAGTCTCTGACATGGCAATTTTCTAGGAAAGAAATTCATTTAGGGAATCAATCAGGAATTCATTCGTTATTGTTTGGTTAATATTAACTAAAGATTTTTTTAAAAATCACCCTTGTCTTCTTCATTTGCTTATTTTAAGTGGTGAGTATATGAAAACAATGTTTACTTTTCTTATTGAAGACTGTGCAGAAAGACCCACAGGTATTTGTCTCTGGGTGGGAAGAGCAGAATATCTGGATCTGAAGGCTGGCCTGGCCTCTTACCTGCTTTGTACCTTTGGGTAAGTCACATCTCTTCTCAGGATCATACATACATATTCATATCCCTGACAGAGTTGTGACACAAGGTACATGGAAACAATCTCCAACTTCAAAGGGCTGTATAAATAATTGTTTATAATTATTAATATAGGGACCAAAGTGCTTTGTGATAGGAATAAGCAGTCAAAAACACCCACTTTGGGGACTTCCCTGGTGGTGCAGTGGTTAAGAATCTGTCTGCCAATGCAGGGGACATGGGTTCGAGCCCTGGTCCGGGAAGATCCCACATGCCGCGGAGCAACTAAGTCCATGTGCCACAACCACTGAGCCTGCGCTCTAGAGCCCGTGAGCCACAACTACTGAGCCTACGTGCCACAACTACTGAAGCCTGTGTGCCTAGAGCCCGTGCTTCGCAACAAGAGAAGCCACGGCAATGAGAAGCCCACGCACCACAACGAAGAGTAGCCCCCGCTCGCTGCAACTAGAGAAAGACCGCGTGCAGCAACGAAGACCCAACACAGCCAAAAATAAATAAATACATTTATTAAAAAAATAAAAAGACAACAAAAAACACCCACTTTCAAGGAGAGGCAGGAAGAGCTGACCCTATTTGCATTTTCTCCATTTGCCTTCCAGATCCACTCTCCACCCTGCTTCTCACAAATCCAGCCCCCTTCCCTAAGCTTCTGCTTGGTTTGGGCCAGTCTGGTGTTGATTCTCCCTATAGGTTACTTCGGACTGGCTGTGTCCTTCTAACAAAAGCCACAGCTCCTTCAGGCAGCCCCTGGCACACCTCCCTCCCCTGACCCCTTTGGGCCCAAGGGGTCTTCCCAGGCCCTGTTGGTTTCCTTTTTCCCTGCACACTGCCCTTTGGGTGGGTGTGCCATCTGACTCCTGCTAGGAGGAGGCTGCTCAGTCTAATTAACTTGTGTAATTACTGTAAAAAATATGAAAGTACATTGACTTTGAAAGAAAAAATAAGTAAAAACAGGTAGTTTAGACAAATGGTTTAAATTAACGAAACTGGGAAAAGGAACCTTTCCCAAAGATATATGGATGCAAATGACACCTTGCCACATCACCATTGTGGGGAAATATGCACACCACATTTCTCAATCCAGTAAAGAAAGCTCTGAACTGTAAACAAACAAGCAAACAAAAACCCAGAGTCATCACCCTGCAAACTTCTTTTTTACCTTGCATACTTTTAGTGCCAAAATAAATGAACCTTGAATTTTTCCTGTAAGTTATATACTTACTCCCTGACATAAATCCATCCGTAGCATTTTCAATGCTGACCTTTTGCAGATTTGCAACATTCAGGGCTATCACAATCATGTGAGAAAATATATTTTTCCACTAAGAATATACTGAGTGTAAACTTGGGAATGTTGGCAATCTTGTGATTTTCTTTTCATTTAACTACATGTTGTGTTTGCTAATATAGTGAGCCAGTCCTTTCAAAGCCTGTACTTTCTTTAAACATTTTTATTGCAAACAATCTATGCTTTTTTCCTTTTTGATTCTGTCTTCCTTACACAGTAAGAACTCCAAATCCTATATTTTAAATAAAAGGAAATAAAATTCTTGGCTTTATTAGGTAAGCATAAATAGAGAGAAGAGTAAAAAGTTTTGTTAAATAGTGAATGGAATTAAAAAGGTGATGCTTATCTTTTAAATGAGTGATTCTTAAGGTTTGGTGTCTATCAGAATAATCTTTGGGGCTTGTTAAAAATAAACATCATGCCCTTTCCATGACTGTCTAGCATTCTGTATCATTATAAAATTCAATGTTCTCATCTGTGAAATGAGGATAACCTCACAGAGTTATTGTGAGGATTAAGTGGGATAATGTATATAAAGCACCAAAGCACTTAGAACTGCTCTTAATGCACAGTAAGCTATAGGAGTGTAGCTACTATTATTTTTGTTGGGAGACAATTCTCCATGTTTCTGCATGTCCTGGGAACAGAGGCACTGACCACCTTTGTTCTGGACTATTTTCTCCAAGATGTTTGTATAGCAAACAGCCTTGGAAGATACAGGGTCTCCCTCCAGAGCAGGGGGCAGTTTTGTTTTCTTTCTAGTGTAATAATGTCTCCCTTTGGTGGAAATGTCTATTATCAAGATTTGGGCTCCCTGAGCTCAGAGCTCCTCAGCTGTGATGCAAGTCCTCTGCAAGCATGGCATTCACATAGGCCCCTCTGTCTTTCCCCTGTGAACTTAGGGGTGGCAAGAGGAAACCAACATGAACATGAACCTCATGCTGCTTGCTGTGCCGTAAGTAATAAAGTCCTTTGTCTCTGACCCAGGAGTTTTGAGTCTTCTACCAGCATCTGTGTGGCAGGCAAAAGGAAGGTTAAAAATCTCAGCCCCTTCACAGTTCTTGACAATTACAGGGTTCAGAAGCATGCAGTCATGTTTAAAGAAGTGCAATTTGTCAACCAAAAGTAATTTAATTAAAGTAATTAAAAAGTAATTTCAGGGAATTCCCTGGTGGTCCAGTAGTTAGGACTCTGTGCTTTCATTGCCAAGGGCCCGGGTTCCATCCCTGGTCAGGGAACTAAGACCCCATGAGCCACGTGGCCAAAAGAAAAAGTAATTTCATTTTTCACTCCCATCTCTAAATGAATATTTGAAAGGATCCAATTCATAGTTTTCTTATTGCACAACCTCGGTACCATCTAGCCGCTCCCACATGTAACCATGGTCCCCGTCTTATCTTCTGGTTTAAAGGGTACTATTAATGACCTTTGGAATCTAAATCCACCTGGCCATTATTCAAAACCACTAATCAGTGGCCAAATGGTAGAGTTGCAGAAGGTTTGAAGAGAATTTGCATTTCTGAACTTCCCCCAGGATCTCACCCCTTCCTCACCATTCCAGCATACAATGCACAATTCCCAGCGTCTTCCTCCAGAACACCTTATTTCATAGCAACTATAGTTTTGCCCCTGTTACTTCCTCAACCCACTCAGCACCACTGACATCTTGATGACTGACTCATTCCTAAGAGAATATAGGCCACCAAGAAGGGAGACCCTCTGGAGGGGCAAACACTATTAGAAGAATGATTTCACCAGAGAGAAAATCCAAGTGGTGGACACTGCCTGGTTCTCCCACCGCAATTTACACATGAGCAAGTCTAAAGCTGGAGGACAGCTACTTGGGTTCTTTCAAAGGATGCAAGTCATCAGGCCAAGGCCCTTTGGACCCAGTGTATCTACTCTGTCTTTTACCATTCTTTGGCATGCCAAATTCAATGAGGGCACAGAATAGATAACAAGAGAATGTTATTCAAGAGAAGCTGGACTCACGGTAAATCCCAGCACACAGAGGAATGGTTGTGGGAATGGGTCACCATTAAGAGTTCTGGAGCCTTGGGCTTCCCTGGTGGCGCAGTGGTTGAGAGTCTGCCTGCCAATGCAGGGGACACGGGTTCGTGTCCCGGTCTGGGAAGATCCTACATGCCGCGGAGCGGCTGGGCCCATGAGCCAATGGCCGCTGAGCCTGTGCATCTGGAGCCTGTGCTCCTCAACGGGAGAGGCCACAGCAGTGAGAGGCCCGCGTACCGCAAAACAAACAACAAAAAAAAATTATCTATTGAATGCTAAGGCATTATGGCCTTAGTGTTTATTTACAGACAAGTTTTGAGAGCAGTTTTAGGTTCACAACAAAATTGAGGGGGGGAAGGTACAGCGAGTTCCCATACACCCCTTTCCCCCCACATGCACAGCCTCCCTCATTATCAACATCCCCTCACCAGAGTGGGACATTTGTTACAACTGATGAATCTGCACTGACACAACCCGAATCACCCAAAGTCCATAGTTTACACTAGGGCTCATTCATTCCTGTATAACATTCTATTTGTTTGGACAAATGTATAATGACATGTATCCATCACTATAATATCATACAGAGTATTTTCACTGCCCTAAAAATCCTCTGTTCTTTGTCTATTCATCCCTCCCTCTCCCAACCCCTGACAACCACTGATTTTTTTTTTTTTTGCTGTCTCCATAGTTTTGCCTTTTCCAGAATGTCATATAGTTGGAATCATACAGTATGCAGCCTTTGCAAATTGGTTTCTTTCACTCAGTAATATGCATTTAAGCTTCCTTCATGTCTTTTCATGGCTTGATAGCTCACTTCTTTTTAACCCTGAATATTATTCCATCACCTGGATGTACCACATTTATCCATTCACTTACTGAAGGACAAACTTAGTGCTTCCAAGTTTTGGCAGTTATGAATAAAGCTGCTATAAGCATCCACATGCAAGTTTTTGTGTGGACACATTTTGAACTCCTCTGAGTAAATACCAGGGAGTGCAACTGCTGGAGTGTACAGTAAGAGTATGTTTAGTTTTATAAGAAAATGCCAAGCTGCCTTCCAGAGTGACTGCACCTTTTCGCGCTTCCGCCAGCAGTGAGCGAGAGAGCTCCCACTGCTGCACAGCCCCCTCAGCGTTTGGTGTTGTCGGTGCTCCGGATTTTAGCCATTCTAGTAGGTGTGTAGTGGTATCTCGTTGTTTCAATTTGCATTTCGCTGATGACATATGATGTGGAACATCTTTTCATATGTTTATTTGCCATCTGTATATCTTCCTTGTTGAGGTGTCTCTTAAGCTTTTTGGCCCATCTTTTAATCAGGTCTTTCATTTTCTCATTGTTGAGTTTTAAGAGTTCTCTGTAATTTTGGCTAACAGTTCTTTATCAGATGCGTCTTTTGCAAATATTTTCTCCCAGTTTGTGGCTTGTCTTCTCATTCTCTCAACACTGTCTTTCACAAAGCAGAAGTTTTTAAATTTTAATGAAGTCCAACTTATCAATCATGTCTTTCATGGATTGTGCTTTTGGTGTTGTATTGTTAAAGTCACCAACATACTCAAGTTGAGATAGCTTTTGAATCTGTGATTTTATTTTTAAATTATATATGCATTGAGCATTTTTTTTCTTCATTTGGAAAAGAAAGATTTTGAGACTTCCTGCAATGTGTGTGAATTAGTTGCGAGTGCACTTGCAAATCTGCAAATGTTACTGTTAATAGAGACTTCTATTTTGGAGTAAGTATGTGTGCTTAGTCTGTGACAAGTTAACGTCAAATGAAATAAAATTAAGTTTATGGAAATTTCAAGTCCATATTGATACTAGAAAATTAATTGTATTCCATATGACTTTCCAATACTGTTTATCAAAACTTAGAAATGCTGTAGAGGTCAATCTCAGTTACCAGAATCCAAAATTCAGCTGTCATCAAGTTGCTCATTATGAACTCTGTTTTAGGCTATAAGTCTTCTAACTCATTGAGGTCATTTGACTAGAGACTGTCTGTGAGGAAATCACTGTTTACTATGCTCTCTTTTCTCCTTTTATAAAGAAATCCAAGGAAGAGATAAATAAGGAATAGAATGTATAGGTTACATCTCAAAATCCAATGTTTGCTCATCTAATCTTGAAATTTGGACTAAAATAGAGCCAAAGGCCAGAGATTAGATAATAAGGATGTTTTGGTTTCAGATGTTATTGCTTAAATAATTTAATATTCGTCAACACAACCCTAACCGTGTTAGGGTTTTGTTGATTTATTGAATGTGTTTTTACCTAAGCAGTTGAGCCACAGGAGGTAATAGCTCTTAAACCCCATTCCCCGGGTTCTAGTATGAAATGAACCAATGATTGATAAGCCTCCCTGCTTCTTCTAGTAGAGCCTTGGGAAAGAAAGTCAGGAAAGAAGAAGTTCTGCTCTGTGGACAACGGTTGTGGGGAAAGGGACTTCCCTGGAGGCACAGTGGTTAAGACTCCGCACTCCCAATGCAGGGGGCCTGGGTTCGATCCCTGGTCAGGGAACTGGATCCCACATGCATGCTGCAACTAAGAGTTCGCATGCCACAACTAAGGAGCCCTCAAGACACAACTAAGGAGCCGGCAAGCCACAACTAAAGAGCCCGTGAGCCACAAGGAAGGAGCCCATCTGCTGCAACTAAGACCCAGCACAACCAAATTTTAAAAAAAAAGGGTTGTGGGGAAGAGCCTCCTCTGCGTTTCTTAGTTCCTTATTTATTTCCATTTCCCTCAGTCACAGGGGTAGTGGCTACCCTTTGTATTTACTATTTTTAAAATTTTCTGTTATGTGTAAACATAAAATCTACCACCTTAGCCATTTTTAAGTGTACACACACTTTTGTTTCACAGTTCTAGAGATTATAAGTCTGAAATCAAGGTGTTGGCAGGGTTGGGTCCTCTTGGGACCTCTGAGGGAGAATCTCTTCCACGCCTCCTAGTGTTTAGTGGTTGCTGGCAATCCTCGGTGCTCCCTGCCTTGTGGGAGCATAACTCCAATTTCTGCTTCTGGCTTCACATGGTTGTCTTCCCTGTGTGCACGTCTCTGTTTTCTCCTCTTATAAGGTCGCTGGATTCAGTGACTTCATTTTAACTGATTACATCTGCAAAGACCCTGTTTCCAAATAAAGTCATATTCACTGGTACCAGAGGTTAGGACTTGAACATATCTTTTTGGGGAGACACAATTCGACCCACAACAGGAGTCATCATCAATGTGGTGGCAAAGAAAACTGATGCCACACAGAGAAATCTGCACATAGACCTGTTTACTTGAGGAAAAAAAAAAGTCCCCGTTTCCTTTTCCAGCCTTGCAGTGTGCTTCAAGCACCCTCTACTGGCAGAGTTTAACATCCAGCCAGCTGGCAACAGGCAAACGCAGTCTGCAGAGTGCCGTTCCCTGGGGCAAGGGATGATGGGCTTTGCAGCTCAGAGGCAATAAATTCATAACAGCCACAGACTAAAGTTCTGTCTGCTTTGAAGTGAGCCTTCCCTACGTTAGTTTTAGCTTGACTACGGAGCTCTAAATCGGCTCTGGGACTAAAACCTGGGAAGGGAAGAGTCCAAAGAAAGGAGATGCTTAGGCTAGGTCTGGTAGGTTATAGGAGGTTGGAAGACCTTGAAGTGGGAAAGGGATGATATTTTAGGGAGAGGGACCAGTATGGGCAGAAGCAAAGCATGGGAGACCCTAGGTTGTTATGGAATTCTGAAAGCCACGTTAAGGTATTTGAACTCTAATCTGAAGGTGAAGTTGGGTAAGAGTAACATGACCAAATTTGTAATGTAGAAAATTTCCTTTATCTCCAGGCAGCATGGGAACTCCTTCTGTTTGGGAAGGAGAGCCCTGAACAGGCAGCAATGAGCTTCTATAGGAGGAGTGTGCACGAAGGAAGTGGACTGGGAAACCTGCATAGCTGAAGAACCTCATGGGAGACAAGGTTCAATGAGAATCGTCAAATGTTTCAAGTATGGAAACAACATGATCTGATGTGGAGATGGCTGGCATCTCAAAACACAACACGTATCAATGAATGCATCATCTTACACTGTAAGTTTGTGTTCCTTATTTCAGGAATGGCACCTGATTTCCTAATCTAGAAACCTTAGCGTCATCAGGACTCAGTGCTCTCCTTCACTCCTCCACAACCAATGATTAAATACTACCCATTTTGCTTCATAAATGCGTCTCAACTTTTCTCCATTCTCAATGCTACTACCTTGAAACACGCCTGTAGCATCTCTTACTTGGACTCTTATAACTGTCTCATAACGGTCTTCCTGATATCTCCCAGCTCCTTTTCTCAGGCAGAGTAATTGTTCTGAAATGCAAATCTTAAGGTGTCACTTTATTACTTAAAAACTCTATGCTGGCTCTCCATTGCTCTTAGGATAAATAGCAATTTCTTCAACATGGAACAAAATGACCCCTCATAATCTGGCTTTTTCCAGTTTCATCCCCTCCACTCCTCATCCCCCAGCCCCACCCCCAGCCCAGCCATATGGATTGTCTTTTTTTTTTTGCTGTACACGGGCCTCTCACTGTTGTAGCCTCTCCCGTTGCGGAGCACAGACTCCGGACGCGCAGGCCCAGCGGCCATGGCTCATGGGCCCAGCCGCTCCGCGGCACGTGGGATCTTCCCAGACCGGGGCACAAACCCGTGTCCCCTGCATCGGCAGGTGGACTCTCAACCACTGCGCCACCAGGGAAGCCCCATACTATATTTTTAACTTTATTTTGTTCCATTTTCTTAAAATAATTTATTATTTCTTAAAGTTTATTTGCTTGTTTATTGTCTGTCATCCTCCACCAGAATATATGCTCCTTGAGATTAAAAACCTTGTCTACCTTGCTCACCACTATGTCCTCAGAGCCTACAACAGTGTCTAGTTCATAGTAAAGACTCAAGAAATATTTACTGAGTGAATGATAGAAACAACTTTTTTTGAGGTAAAGCTCTTCATGTTGCTATAGAGTCCCATGCAATATTTTGGACATAATTTCCAAAAAAAATGTTTATCTGAAATTCAGATTTAACCGAGCGACCTGCATCTTTTCTGGCAGCCGTACCCCCAGAACACATTTGAGAATACGTGGATACATTTTTGATTGTCACGACTGAGGTGGTGGTACTACTGGCATCTAGTGTGTAGAGGCCAGAGATGCTGTTAAACATCGTACAATGCATAGGACAGTCCCTACAAGGAAAAGAATTATCCAGGCCAAATGTCAATAGTGCGGAGGCTAAGAAACCCGGAACTAGATGGCCATGAACTTTAAGGCACAGAGCGCCAAGAATCTCTAAGTTAAACTTCCTTTTGGAAAGGGAGAATGGAGTTAGTGAGACGGAGTCGGGGCTGAGACCCATCTTTAAAACCCTGGGCACACATCTTGAGGCTGATAACCAGAGGGCAAGAGGGCCAGACTACCAACCAATGGCAGCAAACAAAGTCATGATGCCTAAAAGACTGCCTGGGAAGGGCACTGTGGACAGTAAAGCACTCTGCATACACTGGTTAAGTGCACCTCAGACACAGAGACATCCTTTAGGTCCGTCCACCTGAGGACAAATCCTCTGGCCGCTGGGACTAGGAACGCGTTCACAGACATAGCGGAAGCAGCCGGGCGGCTGAGGCGTCCTGCTGCTCCCCTAGCAACGGTCGTGACGGAAGTGGCTGAAGCAGCCGCGCCCTGTGCGCCTGCGTGGAGGCGCCGCGTGCTGACGTGGATCTGGGTCCAGCAGCCCAGCCGGGCGCGCGGTGGAGTGCCGGGGTGCGGCTGGGCTAGTGGAGCCGTGGCCCAGCCGGGATGGCGACGCCGATCGCTCCGCGCCGGGGAGCCGGCGCTACCGGCCGGGGCTGGTTGGTGCTGCTGCCGCCCCTGCTGCTGGCGGTGCTGCTGCCGCGGCCCGCGGCGGCCCTGGTGGAAGGGCTCTACTGCGGCACGCGGGACTGCTACGAGGTGCTGGGGGTGAGCCGCACGGCAGGCAAGGCGGAGATCGCGCGGGCCTACCGCCAGCTGGCTCGGCGCTACCACCCCGACCGCTACCGGCCAGAGCCCGGCGACGAGGGCCCCGGACGGACGCCGCAGAGCGCTGAGGAAGCCTTCCTGCTGGTGGCCACCGCCTACGAGACTCTTAAGGTAAGCCTGGGGGCGCGGATGGGCTGCGAGGACCCGCTGGCGAAGCGAGCGGCGTGGCCCCTTCGGCCCCTGGCCCGTGGAGCGAGGCTCCCTGTGACTCCGGCGCCGGGCGCGACCACCGCCACCACCCTTAGGATGCTCGCGCTTCCCCACGTGAGAGAGCGCATACGGCCCACTGACAAAGATGGGAACCCCCTCGGTCTTGGAGGGCAGCCAGCCCCCTCCTTTTTGTTACAGTCTTTTTTATGCAAAGCTTTGGGTTTCTTACGATTTAGTGAAAATGTTTTAATAACGTGCAGCTCACTCTCGGAAAGCAGGGTGATTATTATTACCAAGATCTGTGATAGAACACAGGAAAGGGCTCCAGTGACAGTGAGATCGCCCGAATTTGAGTTGACAGAAACTTGGTTTCTGGGGATGGTATTAATTGTGACATTTAGCTTGGGTTTAAGGATGTAGAAAAATACTAAGAAGAACACCGGATGTTTGACTCCGGCTCTGAACGCCCCTGTATGACCTTGGATAGTGACTTAATAGGTCAGAGTACCTGTTTCTTCATAGACAAAATTAAGGCCATGATGCCTGCTCCACGGGTTGTTATGATGAATGAGATGAATGATGAATGAGATGAGAATGAGAATGATGAATGAGAAACCCCCTATACAGGACCTGCAAATAGGTGCTTAATGACTTGGGTTTCAAGACTGAGAATTTCTAGTAGGAAATATTTTGTGAGTATATATGTGTAGTCATTTGCCAAAGGTTTTATTGAGTCTTGTGGGGATGGGGAGATTTAGCCTGATCCTGTTTTCTTCTACTGCTGGGAAAAGCAAACCATAAGAAATCACTAAGTACAAAACATATTTGGTGGAAGTGTTACTGCTTCAAGGGCCCCATCATGCTAATGCAACAGCAGTTGCAGTTGTAGGGTACTTTTTTCTAGCTTTTTCTTTTCTTTTTGAGGCAGAGTTTTCCATGTTGCTGTATCGTCTGCTTTTAGTGACTACTTCGAGTGGGTATGCTATAATTTAAGCATGGATTATTTTTCCAGGTTAGATTTCCAGAGCTGAAAACACTGAGTCAAGGAGTTAATGGCTTACTTTCCAGAGCAGTTTGGATAATATGGAGTCATAAAATTCACTAAATCCTCACCAGCATTGGTGAGATTGTAATTTTTATTGGCAGTTAACTGAGGAATGGGGGGTTTGGGAAAGTGCTGAGGCCAGAGGGCTTGGTTGCCTATTATTTGGGATAGAGAGTGATTGAGGAAAGACTTCAGAAAGATGGGAAAGAACTTCATTCAGGGCAGCCCAGCATGTGAAGCTCCAGTCTGCTTTTCTGCAGTGAGGAAGGATAGTGGTCCAGACGGCCATCCAGAAGGCCCGCCACTGGTCCTCCAAAGCCCTCGTGGCACAAGAGGGAGCACTGGGCAGGTGGAGAACTTCCAGAAGAGAGGCAGCAGAAACAGTGGCAACTGTTCCCTTCTGCTGGGGTTGGAGATGGGGAGATTTGGCATGAAAATGGTGAGCATGATAGTAAATAGAGACTATAGAAAATCTGGCTGGGAGGAATCCCAGGACTCTAAATATTCTTGCCATTTTCTCGAAGAGACAAATTCAGAGGCTGATCTGGCTGTAATGGTTGCCTCTAAATGCTGCTACGAGTTTAGCACTGATTTGTCAGCTAATAAAAAGCTCAATAAAATAATGTGTCCACTCAAGAACAAGGAACTTTGAAGCAGTTAAAAACTAGTATGTCTGGAGAAAGTAACACTTACTCTTGATTGGGACAGGTTTGCGGTAGCTGCAAATGCCTCCAAACAGGAAAACTAGAATTGTAGTTGCACTGATGGAGGGTGGGAGAGAGTGTTCTATAGCTTCCCCAACCCCACTCATTATTACTGCAGGAGAACGGAAATTATCTGTGAGAGAAAAGGGGTGTCTGGGCTTGGTTTGGACCCATGGAAATCAGACTTAGTTGGGCTCTATGAAAACTCCCATGTTAAATTTATAGAGATAGACAGGGGTTCCACTTCCAAGTGGAACACCTTCAGAAACTTTTTAAAAAACTTCATTGAAGATGCTCTCTCCTGGAATAAGGAAGAGGACTTTGACTTGCCATGTGTGGAAGAAGTTATTAAAAACAAACAGGGTGGTCTGATTTTATTGCTGTCATAATGGAGAATTGTGAGAAGGTTGCCGGAAGATATCATTTCTGGGTAATGCAGAGATCTGATAAACTGGGGTCATCCCCTTGAGGCAACAGGGAGGCAACCACTGTTTTGCTTGGATTATATCTACAGACTGGAAAGAGGGCTTGTGAGGGATAAGAGGTCCACCTGGCCTTTACTACGAGCAGGTCAGATAGAATAGTGGGAGAAGCTGATAAGTTCCAGTGGCTCTGGAATGAAGACGAGCCGCAGAAGCCTACCTGAAATTCCATATATCATCTCATGGGGGCAGCAACTGCAGACCTGGGACCGCAATTCATTTCTATTTGCTCTTTTTGTTATACACTATATATTTCTCCATAAAGAACAGCAATAAACCCTGTGAGAGCTGAAAAGGAGGGAGGGCCTTGGGAAGACTGTGTCCTCCTTCACAGCCATGTTCAGTTACTGCTGGCATATGAAGGGAAAAGTTGATTCTATATTTGCTTTGTAGAATGCCCAGGTAGATTCCATCTCTGGAACAGTGTATCTAACAGAAATTGTTTCTTTTGTGAAATCTGAAATAAATTAGTTGTAAATTCATTGGAGCCAGGAACCTTTTTTCTCTCCCCATAATTTTTTGATAACCTTCTTAATTTCTTATTCTTGGTCTGTTCAAGTCTCTTAGCATTTTTAACATGTATAATATAAAAAGCTATATTATATCCTCATTATAATCTTAAAATGGTGTTCCATCAAAACTTATAACAACCAAGCATCTCTGAATAACCAAAATGAGAATTATATTTGTGTAAGATATAGTGGATTTATGACTCTGAAGTTGTCTTGGTTAAATAAATGCCTCTTTGAGAGAGAGTTTTTTTAGATGGAAATTGTTAAAAATAAGGATACTGACATGATTTAAATGCAGTTGGTCAGACAAGGAGATATTATCACAGTTGGTCATTGTTTTCATAGCAACAGAGATTCTACCTGTGAATAGAGAGATTGAGAAAAACCAGAAAAAGAAGGACGGGTAATAATGGAAGGCAAAGGGACCTGTCAGATGCTTTTACCAAGTCATGCTTAGTTCATGTTCTCAAATAACTTAAACCTCTAGATCTCAGCAGGACTTGAAACCATTATGATTTCACACACTGCTTTATATTTGTTTCATAATATGAGTTAAGCCGGTGAAATAACTATTTAGTGTATTTGACTACTGGGGATTCAGGGACACATGGACTTTGGAAGTTAAGTAAACAGACTCTCACTTGCTGTGTCAACATTGGATCTTTTTATGTGGATATAGCACTTATCACACTGCACTGTAAATCCTGAGTAGTAGCCCTTCTCCCCTCTCCACTAAACTTCATTTTTGCATGTATATCCATGGCACCTAGCACAGTGTCTGGCACATAGATAATGAATGCTTATAAAATAAAAACTCCTATCTGGAGATAGATTCAGATAGGATGGAAATCGAAAGTGGATTTCTGGCGTTTTGACATTGTTATGTGAAGCCTACTTTGGCATTTTACCCCAAATTAATTGTAGTCTTAAAGAGTGGTACAGATAAAGTAGATTGGATGGGTATGAATGAAAAATTCCTGCATGAGAGAAAAATTATACTTCTGTTTTTAAGGAGAAATTATTTTCTCAGGGATTTTGAGAACATTAATTATTTTTGATATAGATACAAACTGGATGAATTAGATAAAATGAGAAGGATGGCATAGAAATAAGCAGATGAGGGAACAGGTGGTAAGGACGCACTTAGAAAAACTGCAATTGGTAGAAAATGGTAGAGTTTGACAGCATTTTGCAAGATCATGAGAGAAGAACATAGAAAAGGTCTTGGAGGTATTACTGGCGTGCAGGTTATCTGATAAATTGAAGGGATGTGTAGAGAGAGCCTTGTGCTCCTCCAGCCTTGTCTTGGCAGGAAAGTCACAGGAACACATCAGTTTCTTTTTGCCAGTCTGGTTGATGTGGCAGGGCTTTAGCACTTAAGAATGATTTGACAAAAAGGGGATTATGAACTTCCTGCCCTGTTATGGTTACTGTTTATTGTTCTCCCTTTGTATATTCGCTTAACCCTTTATCTCACTGGTACTGACATAGGTGCTGGGGGAGGAGACCATAACAATGAAAAAGGTACAGTTCCTGCCTTTAAGCTTTTAATATAAGAAGGATACAGATACTTATTGTTTGGTTATTATTTATCTAAGTTATATAATAAAAACGTGTAGATTATATTGCAGCACTGAGAGAACACAGTTATTTCTTCTCAGGGGATTGGAGAAGAATGCACTCTTTGATCTGGATCTAGAACAATCCCCAAGGTTGACTGTGGAGGGACATTTCTGGTAGAGAAAAGTCTTGATCCACGAAAACATGGAGTCATGAGTGTGCAAGGCTGGTTCCAGGAATGAGATGTAGGATCACTTCTATTATGCTTTTCCCTGGAACTCTTCGTTCTGGAGGAAAAAAATTAGCTGCACTTTATTGCTATTACTATTTTTCTTTTCCAGCATCGATCCAGATTTTAATCAGTCATTCATAATAATTGGGTATTCATAAAACTAATAGAAATGATGTAAATTTCTATCACAGTTGTGAGGCTGATACACAGCCAAGTTAAGTCAGCTTGATGGCAGATAATTTTCATTTCACGTGCCAACTGTAATTGGTCTAGGCTCCATGTAACACTTGTAAATTTGGGGGCCTTGTCTGGGTTTAGTGGAAAAGATGACATGTTAAACTGTTCTCCCATGGGCCCAGAAGAAGGGTGTGGTACCTTATGTGCCACATTTGCTATTTCTGCTGTGAACCCATAAGTGTTTTTCAT